TGAACTGTGGTGCCCAGAACTGGACACAGTACTCCAGGTGAGGTCTGACCAGAGCAGAATACAGTGGCACTATTACTTCCCTTGATCTAGATGCTATACTCCTATTGATGCAGCCCAGAATTGCATTGGCTTTTTTAGCTGCCGCGTCACACTGTTGGCTCATGTCAAGTTTGTGGTCAACCGAGACTCCTAGATCCTTTTCACATGTACTGCTCTCAAGCCAGGTGTCCCTGGCCGGTCTTGCTCTCATTTTGAAAAGATGTCTATCCATATTCTGCAAATAGATAGATAGATAGATAGATAGATAGATAGATAGATAGATAGATAGATAGATGATAGATCGATCGATGATAGATAGATAGATGATAGATAGATAGATAGATGATAGATAGATAGATAGATAGATAGATAGATAGATAGATAGATAGATAGATAGAGATAGATGATAGATAGATAAATAGATAGATGGATGGGTGGATGGATAGATAGATAGATAGATAGATAGATAGATAGATAGATAGATACTCTACTACACTGAAATGTTTCTTGGATTGTCCTTGAATCTTCCTGCTACACTTGCCATCCTCTTCTGTCAGTTCTGGATCCGCACATGCTTTTCAGGGGGAGCAGAGTGGATCCTAAGTATGGCTGCGCAGTCATGGATACAGCTGCCGAGCTGCTCAGCTGCCTCATTCCTTTAGTCCGAATGACTGAATCAGTATCCGCCCCCCATGTGCCGGTTCATGACTAGGGCGTCCAGATTTCACGGTCCTGCTCCTGTAACCATTTGCCAATCACCACGGGACTTTTTTTGAGGGGTGGGGTGGCTTTTTTGAAGAAGCCTGTGTGTGAATTTGTTTTATGTGTGGAGATCAGTAAGGCTCTATTCCGATGGCATGAGTATCACGGCAACCGGTAGATTCTTCGCCCGCCTTCGCAACCGTTGTAACAAGCCCCTTGTTATCTTCCGCCTGTTCTGCTGTTGAGGACTTCTTGGATCATTCTTTGTCCTAGCTCCTTCCCTTTGACCTTACTGCCTTGGGTGACCATGCTGGGAGTACGAGATTCCCGACAGCTTCGCTCACAAGGGTCATAGGAACATGCAAGCCCACTCACCATGACGAGGCGATGATCCTTTGAGAACCAGTGCTCTAAGCATGCATCACATAAGCTCTCTTTCGATTTCATTGATATGAACCCTTTCTGGAGACTTAAAGGGCAGGCAAAGGGAGAAGGATTATCTCTTCTCCCCATCACATCTTCTCATGGTAACCCCCTGGCTTTCTATTTCCTCCATAGGCTCTTCCACAAAGCCTCCGCTGCCTCCACTTATACCCGCCACAGCCCGCACAACCATCAAAATCACCCCGGTAGCGACATCGCCCAGACAGCCCCCAGTAATTTCCCCCACGGCATCCCAGCTGACAAGTAAGAAAATTTCACAGTGATGGTTTTGTTTTTAATTATTTAAAAATGATTTTTAAAAGGAGGGAGAGCTGGAAGCATGTTAATAATGATTTTATTATTTAGACCCCACACATCTGACTGGGTTTCCCCAGCCACTCTGGGCGGCTTCCAGCAGATACAAAAACATTAAACATTAAAAAACATTTTAAAAACTTCCCAATACCAGGCTGCCTTTAGTTGTCTTCTAAAGATTGTATAGTTACTTATCTCCTTGGCATTTGATGGGAAGGGGTTCCACAGGGCCCGCCCCTGGGATACTCCTACCTGAAACCTGCCGGCATTGGCCAATTGGCCGGCAGTTGGGAGATCCTTCCCCAGCCAGCCAACAGATAATTGGAGTCGCCTGGCCACGCCACCTTTGAAGGTGGGCAAACTTATGACATTCATTTCAAATATTGTATTCTGGGTATTGCTTTATTTGATTTCCTCTTTTTAACCATCCTGGGTGCCCTTTGCTAAGGAAGAGTAGAAATTTACCAAATAAACACGTTCATTTATTCCTCCCTCTGTTCCAGCCACTCTGCCAACACCAGCCCAAACAACAACCCCAATTCCAGCGGTTGAACAATTCACTGTCAATTTCACCATCACCAACCTCAAGTACAGGGAAGAGATGGGAATGCACAATTCCAAAATATTCAATGCAACGGAGAGTGATCTCGTCCGCCTGGTAAGCCTGACTCCATGGCAGTTAGCAAGGGATGTGTAGATAAATTTGTACACTTTTTATAGGGTGGAAGATGCTCAATGTCTCTTTCCTTCCTCAGCTTGACAGAATTCTCCTCAACAGCAGCATTGGCCCGGCATATCTGAGGTGCAGAGTGACTCAACTCAGGTAAGCCTTCCTCAAAGGTGAGAACATATCTGCTCTGCTGGCAACCCAGGCAAACAAGGTTGGCATCTTCTGTCCTCCCTTGTCCGTATCTGTGGTCAATCCTGAATCCTGATTTCCCTCTCCTCCCAGACCGGTGAGAGACGGGGATGAAACTGGAATGGATGCCATCTGCACTTACCGCAACGACTCCACCACGCCCGCCTTTGACCGAGTGAAGGTGTACCACGAGATCGTCAACCAGACCAACGGTTTCACTGAGATGGGGCAATACTATCTGGAAAGATACAGCCTCTACGTCAACGGTAGCTGAGTGGTTTTTAAACTTTGGATGTGCATCAATTATCTGGATGTCTGTGGGTGGGTGGGTGTATATCCATGAATGTTACTAGAAGCAACACAGTAGTTTTCCCAGCCCAGCCTTCTCCAGAGGCCCAATTTCCGAGACAGAGTGCTGCGGACTTGGATGAATATGATATTGTGTGTTGTTTGAGTAGAACGTGGCTAATCATGACACAGAGATATGACTCTGGAGGTTTTCACCAGATGTTGTGTGAGGGTCTGAGGCTCCCGTGGCAGTGAGATGATTTTCTCACAGAGGTGAAGGATGTTCATTCCTGTGTACAGACAGTGCACCGTCCAAAATAGTGAGAAATCCCAACCCGTTACTATTATATTTGAAAGGCCTGTTTGTGGTATTACATTATGCAATTTCCTGAATTAACGTCTCTTCCATTTCCATAGGTTATCATGAAACCCCTCCTGAAACAAGTAAGTAGAACCACATTTAATTTCTAACACAGCAAGTGCCCCCCCGACAATCAGAGGAGCTGATGTCGACAATTCATGAGTGGAAGAGTACCAAAATGAAGCTTCTTTGATTCAAGTGAATCGTTTGTTAGATTTATCAGTCTCACCATGTGATTGACACTTAGTTGACATACAAAATATTTCAATCTGTTAAGAAGGGGATATATAATTTGAGAATATGGAGTTTCATGGCCTTTGTTTTAATTCTTGCATTCTGAATATTGCTTTATTTGGTTTTCTTTTCTCAATTCCCAATCACACCATTCCATCGACTTTTGTTGAAATTAAAAGTATTTCAGTCTCTTAAGGAGGAAATATATATCATGAGACCTGGGAGTTTGATGTCTTGCATTTTCACTATTGTATTCTGGGAATTCCTTCATTTGATTTCCTCTTCTTTTTACTATTCTGCTTCCCCTTTGAGAAGGGTGGAATGCAAATTCATAAAATACCTACGTCTCTTCCAGCCACTCTGCCAACACCAGCCCAAACAACAACCCCAATTCCAGCGGTTGAACAATTCACTGTCAATTTCACCATCACCAACCTCAAGTACAGGGAAGAGATGGGAATGCACAATTCCAAAATATTCAATGCAACGGAGAGTGATCTCCTCCGCCTGGTAAGCCTGACTCCATGGCAGTTAGCAAGGGATGTGTGGATAAATTAGTACACTTTTTATAGGGTGGAAGATGCTCAATGTCTCTTTCCTTCCTCAGCTTGACAGAATTCTCCTCAACAGCAGCATTGGCCCGGCATATCTGAGGTGCAGAGTGACTCAACTCAGGTAAGCCTTCCTCAAAGGTGAGAAGATATCTGCTCTGCTGGCAACCCAGGCAAACAAGGTTGGCATCTTCTGTCCCCCCTTGTCCATATCTGTGGTCAATCCTGAATCCTGATTTCCCTCTCCTCCCAGACCGGTGAGAGACGGGGATGAAACCGGAATGGACGCCGTCTGCACTTACCGCAACGACTCCACCACGCCCGCCTTTGACCGGGTGAAGGTGTACCACGAGATCGTCAACCAGACCAACGGTTTCACTGAGATGGGGCAATACTATCTGGAAAGATACAGCCTCTACGTCAACGGTAGCTGAGTGGTTTCTAAGCTTTGGATGTGCATCAATTATCTGGATGTCTGTGGGTGGGTGGGTGTATATCCATGAATGTTACTAGAAGCAACACAGCAGTTTCCCCAGCCCAGCCTTCTCCAGAGGCCCAATTTCCGAGACAGAGTGCTGCGGACTTGGATGAATATGATATTGTGTGTTGTTTGGGTAGAACAGGGCTAATCATGACGCAGAGATATGACTCTGGAGGTTTTCACCATATGTTGTGTGAGGGTCTGAGGCTCCCGTGGCAGTGAGATGATTTTCTCACAGTGGTGAAGGATGTTCATTCCTGTGTACAGACAGTGCGCCGTCCAAAATAGTGAGGAATCCCAACCTGTTACTATTATATTTGAAAAGCCCAGGAGGCCTCCCCATGTCATGAAAGTGTCCAAAGCTGATTGAGGGGATTGTCATGTGATGGACATGATAGTGTCATAATGCGTGTGAGATGCTTCTCACTGCCTCTGCTTAGTGCATCTTCTGAGTACAGGAGGACGTAACAATTCTCCTGCCCCAGGAAAAAACCCTCCCTATTTTAAACATCATTATATTGAGAGCTTCTCAAATGACCACCTCTTACTTTTCTGTAGGTTATCATGAAGACCCGCCTGAAACAAGTAAGTAGAACCACATTGAAATTCTAACCCTACACCCCCCTTCTGACAATCAGAGTAGCTGATGTTGACAATGCATGAGTGGAAGAGTAACAAAATGAAGCTTCTTTGATTCAAGTGATTCATTTGTTAGATATATCAGTCTCACCATGTGATCAACACCAAGTTGACATTGGAAATATTTCAATCTGTTCAGAAGGGGATATATAGTTTGAGAATATGAAGTTTCATGGCCTTTGTTTTAATTCTTGCATTCTGAATATTGCTTTATTTGGTTTTCTTTTCCTCCATTTTCAGTCACACAATTCCATCAACTTTTTCTTGAAATTAAAAGTATTTCAATCTCTTAAGGAGGAAACATATATTGTTTGAGTCCTGGGAGTTTGATGTCTTACATTTTCACTATTGTATTCTCGGAGTTCTTTCATTTGATTTCCTCTTGTTTTAACTTTTCTGCTTCCCCCTTGGGAAGGGTGCAATGGAAATTTATGATATACCTATGTCTGTTCCAGCCACTCTGCCCACACCTGCCCAAACAACAACCCCAATTCCAGCGGTTGAACAATTCACCGTCAATTTCACCGTCACCAACCTCAAGTACAGGGAAGAGATGGGACAACCCAATTCTACAGTGTTCAACACAACGGAAAGAGCACTCATCGCAGTGGTAAGTCTGATTGCGACTGCTTGTGAGAACGGCTTGTGAGGAGGGGTAGACCAGGCTCTTGTTTTGACATCGTGTCTCATTCCTCTCTCAGCTTGGCAGGTTCCTCAGCAACAGCAGCATTGGCCCTGCGTATCTGGGGTGCAGAGTGACTCAACTCAGGTAAGTCTTCCTCCAATGGGAACACACATTGCAAGTGGGACTCCATCCTTTCTTCCCTTGTGGACCATTCTGCATCCTGAATGATCTCCCTCTCTGTCCTCCCAGACCAGTGAAGAACGGGGATGAAACGGGAATGGACGCCGTCTGCACTTACCGCAATGACTCCACCAGCCCCGCCTTTGACCGAGTGAAGGTGTACCACGAGATCGTCAACCAGACGGACAACTTCAGCAAGATGGGGCCCTATGAGGTGGAAAGATACAGCCTCTACGTCAATGGTAAACAAGTTGTGGAGCCCTTGATGTGCATAGATTTTCTGTGTGTGTGTGTGTGTGTGTGTGTGTGTGTGTGTGTGTGAGAGAGAGAGAGAGAGAGACAGAGAGAGAGAGAGACAGAGAGAGAGAGATTTGTGCAGTACCCCCAAGCCCAGCCTTCATCTGAGCCAATGTTTACAGAGATTTTGGGATCCCTGCTTGTGAACTGAATGCTGGAGTATTTTCAAGTGATTTTGTTCCTGCTTGAGTTGCTGTGCCAATCTGGGTGCAGGGATGATGCTATGGAGGTTTTCGTCCTCTGCCCAGGAGGCCTCCCCATGTCATGAAAGTGTCCAAACTGATTGAGGGGATTGTCATGTGATGGACATGATTGTGTCATAATGCGTGTGAGATGCTTCTCACTGCCTCTGCTTAGTGCATCCTCTGAATACAGTAGGACGTAACAATTCTCCTGCCCCAGGAAAAAACCCTCCATATTTTAAACATCAATATATTGAGAGCTTCTCAAATGACCACCTCTTACTTTTCTGTAGGTTATCATGAAGACCCGCCTGAAACAAGTAAGTAGAACCACATTGAAATTCTAACCCTACACCCCCCTTCAGACAATCAGAGTAGCTGATGTTGACAATGCATGAGTGGAAGAGTAACAAAATGAAGCTTCTTGGATTCAAGTGATTCATTTGTTAGATTTATCAGTCTCACCATGTGATCAACACCAAGTTGACATTGCAAATATTTCAACCTGTTCAGAAGGGGATATATAGTTTGAGAATATGAAGTTTCATGGCCTTTGTTTTAATTCTTGCATTCTGAATATTGCTTTATTTGGTTTTCTTTTCCTCAATTTTCAATCACACAATTCCATCAACTTCTTGTTGAAATTAAAAGTATTTCAATCTCTTAAGGAGGAAACATATATTGTTTGAGTCCTGGGAGTTTGATGTCTTGCATTTTAATTATTGTATTCTGGGAATTCCTTCATTTGATTTCCTCTTGTTTTAACTTTTCTGCTTCCCCCTTGGGAAGGGTGCAATTGAAATTTATGATATACCTATGTCTGTTCCAGCCACTCTGCCCACACCTGCCCAAACAACAACCCCAATTCCAGGGGTTGAACAATTCACCGTCAATTTCACCGTCACCAACCTCAAGTACAGGGAAGAGATGGGACAACCCAATTCTACAGTGTTCAACACAACGGAAAGAGCACTCATCGCAGTGGTAAGTCTGATTGTGACTGCTTGTGAGAATGGCTTGTGAGGAGGGGTAGACCAGGCTTTTGTTTTGACATCGTGTCTCATTCCTCTCTCAGCTTGGCAGGTTCCTCAGCAACAGCAGCATTGGCCCTGCGTATCTGGGGTGCAGAGTGACTCAGCTCAGGTAAGTCTTCCTCCAATGGGAACACACCTTGCAAGTGGGACTCCATGGTTTCTTCCCTTGTGGACCATTCTGCATCCTGAATGATCTCCCTCTCTCTTTGTCCTCCCAGACCAGTGAAGAACGGGGATGAAACTGGAATGGACGCCGTCTGCACTTACCGCAATGACTCCACCAGCCCCGCCTTTGACCGAGTGAAGGTGTACCACGAGATCGTCAACCAGACGGACAACTTCAGCAAGATGGGGCCCTATGAGGTGGAAAGATACAGCCTCTACGTCAATGGTAAACATGTTGTGGAGTCCCTGAAGTGCATAGAATCTGTGGGTGGGTGGGTGGGTGGGTGGGTGGGAGAGAGAGAGAGAGAGAGAGAGTTAGTTTTGTGCAGTACCCTCAAGCCCAGCCTTCATCTGAGTCAATGTTTGCAGAGATATTCAGAACCTTTCTTGCAAACTAAATGCTGGGGTATTTTCAAGTAATTTTGTCCCTGCTTGAGTTGCTGTGTGAATCTGGGTGCAGGGATGATGCTATGAGGTTTTTGTCCTCTGCCCAGGAGGCTTCCCCATGTCATGAAAGTGTCCAAAGCTGATTGAGGGGATTGTCATGTGATGGACATGATTGTGTCATAATACGTGTGAGATGCTTCTCATTGACTCTGCTAAGTGCATCTTCCGAACACAGGAGGAGATGCACAGGAGAACACAATTCTCCTGCCCCAGAAAAAGAAGCCTCCTTATTTTAAACATCAATATATTGAGAGCTTCTCAAATGACCGTCTCTTACTTTTCTGTAGGTTATCATGAAGACCCGCCTGAAACAAGTAAGTAGAACCACATTGAAATTGTAACACAGCACACTCCTAGTGTATCTTGTCCTTTTCTAGGTTACAATGAAGCCCTTTTGAAGCAAGTAAGTACCACCTAAGTATTTTTAAGTAGAGTCTCTTACAACATAGTCAGGGATGAGACTCATGATATTAAAACCTTTGGTAATACATCAGTGAACTGTGTGTCAATATGAGCACCCTTTAATGGATAAAAGGTAAAGGTAAAGGTACCCCTGCCCGTACAGGCCAGTCTTGACAGACTCTAGGGTTGTGCGCCCATCTCACTCAAGAGGCCGGGGGCCAGCGCTGTCCGGAGACACTTCCGGGTCACGTGGCCAGCGTGACAAGCTGCATCTGGCGAGCCAGTGCAGCACACAGAAACGCCGTTTACCTTCCCGCCGGTAAGCGGTCCCTATTTATCTACTTGCACCCGGGGGTGCTTTCGAACTGCTAGGTTGGCAGGCGCTGGGACCGAACGACGGGAGCGCACCCCGCCGCGGGGATTCGAACCGCCGACCTTTCGATCAGCAAGTCCTAGGCACTGAGGCTTTTACCCACAGCGCCACCTTCTTTAATGGATAGGGTATAATAATTGTATAGTGCTATAAATCTCTTGACCCTAGTACATATCTTTCTCCTCCTGTTCCAGCCACTTTGCCAATGCCAACACAAACGCCAACCCCAACCCCAACACATGAACACTTCACCATCAATTGTACCATAACCAACCTCAGATACAAGCCAGAAATGGGGAACGCCCAACTCAAAGGCCTTCAACGCTACAGAGAAAGCGCTCACCATGCTGGTAAGTCTGATTCTGAGCCACTTTTGAGAATGGCATGCAATGAGGTGTGAGCGAGCTTGTTGATTTCACCAATTAAGTGTTTCTTTTCTTCTTCAGTTTGGAAGAATTCTCCGCAACAGCAGCATTGGCCCGGCGTACCTGGGATGCGAAGTGACTCAGCTCAGGTAAGCCTTCCTCAAATGTGGAAACATGTATCCTCTGGACATTACTCACTCCGGCAACAGTGACTTCATCCCTCCTCTGTTGTCCACCTTCTTGGTCTGTCCTGAAATTATTTCTCTCTCCTCCCAGACCGGTGAGCAATGGGGATGAAACCGGAATGGACGCCGTCTGCACTTACCGCAACGACTCCACCACGCCCGCCTTTGACCGGGTGAAGGTGTACCATGAGATTGTAAACCAGACCAGCGGCTTCACCAAGATGGGTCCCTACAACATGGAAAGATACAGCCTCTACGTCAACGGTAGCCAAGAGATTCTTAGTCACTTCATGTGCATAGATTAACTGTCTGTGGTTTGTGTAATGGAATAGAATAGACTGTTCTCTGAGCTCAGTTTTCTTGTTGTGTCCATGATTTCCTGAGAGATGAGGCTCCTCAATCCCGAACTGAGGATGTCATGTTTCATAGGCAGAAGGAAATTTGGGAGTGGGGCATGGAGAGGGGGGAGCCTCCCCTGAGGAGGATTACACTCAGTGTACACTCAGGTTCAAGTCTGGATTGAACCTTTTTCAAGTGTCTACAACTGAAATACCACTGTCTTGGTCTGACAGAAGCCAGCCGTCACAAATGGCGCTGTTTAGCATTTGAAAAAAGACACAGAGAGCCAGCAATATTTTCAGGATGGTATGAGCAGCTCCTTCGACCACCCTCCTCCGATTTTATTCTCCTTTGTTCTCCCCTGTCGCATGGCCGTTTGCCAATGTCTCACGTTACCTACATCCGGTCATGGCTTTTACCCACCCATCGCCATATAAGGTTATGCACTTAATACACTGCAAGGCATGGACATGCAGGTCACCGAGGTCAGCGAGGCACCAGGTGGCGCTATAAACCTTTGCCATGACTTCATGGTTCCCACGTTGGTCCAATCACAAACCAGCCTGTCTTCCTTTGTCCTAGGTTATCATGAGGTCCCAGCTGAATCAAGTAAGTTTACTTTTAAAAATCCTACATCTTAAAGCCCTTCATGGCCCTTTCACCAAACCCAAGGAAAGGAGTTATAGAAAGGCAATAGTGTTGGCCATATGTCATTGGAAGAGTATTGTCAGGGAACTGACATCAGAGACACGGGAGAAGGAGAGGGTCTCCGATTCTGCAGGTGAAGGTCCTAGCACAAGGGGGAGACTCAGCTTGGTGGAAGGGGAAGGAAATACGTGTAACACCAAGAGTCCAGGAGAGCAATGGGAAGAGGAGGTGGAAGGGCTCCGGGATTCTTCCCTGGAAGTCAGTGAAGAGAGCCCAGGCACTCCGCTACCCACGCCCACCCTGCGCAGGAGACTCCCGCGCAATGAGAGGCGGAGACGATTAGGTGTCAAACAGCTTTTATGCTGGCAGAGGTTTAAGAAACGCCCACAGACAGATTCTGCCAGTGACTGAGGCAGTCAAGCGGAGATGGGCTGTGCAGTCCGAAGGGTTTAACCAGGCAACCAAGCACCCAAACGGGTCGGCTTACGCACGAGTAACTCCAAACCACTACAAGTATCTATGTAAACACATATAAATGATTAGTTGTTATTTTTGGTCAGTCACACCATGCAGTGAGCCACTAGCCTCTCCTGATCTATTTATTTCATTTCCTGTGGCAGCCCCTCCACCAGCCCCGACACCAACCCCAGCCCTGGCAGTTGAACCCTTCACCGTCAACTGGACCGTAACCAACCTCAAGTATAACCCAGAAATGGGGACGCCCAATTCAAAAGCCTTCAATGCTACAGAGAAAGCTCTCACCACGCTGGTAAGTCCAATTCCTGCCCACTTGTGAGAATGGCTTCTCACGCTTCTATCGATTTGATGTACTCAATGCCTCCTTCATTTTTCAGCTGGGAAGAATTCTCCGCAACAGCAGCATTGGCCCGGCATATGTGGGATGCAAAGTGACGCAGCTCAGGTGAGCCATCCCCAAACACGGGAACCCTTTAGCTCTGATCATCCCTTGAACAGACACGAATGATCCTCTCACCCAACCGTTCCAACTGCTCATAATTCTACTCAACCTCTCTCTCTTTCCTCCCAGACCTGTGAGTGATGGGGATGAAACCGGAATGGACGCCGTCTGCACTTACCGCGACTCCACCACGCCCACCTTTGACAGGGTGAAGGTGTACCACGAGATCGTCAACCAGACCAGCGGTTTCACCAAGATGGGTCCCTATAGCATGGAAAGATACAGCCTCTATGTCAATGGTAACCAGCTGTTTCCTAATCTTCTCGTGTGCATGCCTTATCTCTGTGTGGGGTTTGTGTCATAGTACAGAAATAGACTGAGCTCAGTTTTCTTGTTGTGTCCATGATATCCTGAGAGGTGAGGCCTCTCACTGCATCATCATCATTTTTAATTTGTATACCGTCTTTCTATCTTACAATACTCAAGGCGGTTTACAAGCTGAAGAAACAAAAATTGTACATCTTATAACAATCTAATGCAATACAAAAATGTGATAATAAAAATAACTTTAAAATAGGCAGCCTACATCAAAAAAGTAATGTTCAACAATCATTAGAATAGTATAAAATAATAATCTCAATGTCTGGTGGCTGTAGCAGTTGCTCGAGAGTAACCAGGCAGGACTCTGACCTGTGTTTTACAGGCTTTATTTTTGTGCACACTATTTACAGTGAAGAGCCCCAAAGCTCATGTCTGGCTCAATCGCTAGCGGAATCCGGGAGTGGTCTTTCTTTGGACCTCCCCCAACATAAGAGTTTTGTTACCCCCAACCGTCTCCCCTCCCCTCTCTGCGCCCCAAACTACTGCGCAGAATGGGCGATGGCAAGGGCGTGTTTCCCTCCAGACCGGCTTGTCCAGAAGCAGTGTTAAGGCTCCTACCATCATCCTCTGGTCCTTGCACCTCTTCCCCACTGGAGGTGGGGCTTTCCTCCTCCCCGGAAGAGGAGCTGCATCGCAAGATTTTCGGAGGCTCCCTGTAACACAACTGCCCTTCTATTTCTCCCTCTGAGCCAATGGCAGTTCCCTGTCATAGAATCATAGAATCATAGAGTTGGAAGAGACCACAAGGGCCATCGAGTCCAACCCCCTGCCAAGCAGGAAACACCATCAGAGCACTCCTGACATATGGTTGTCAAGCCTCTGCTTAAAGACCTCCAAAGAAGGAGACTCCACCACACTCCTTGGCAGCAAATTCCACTGTCAAACAGCTCTTACTGTCAGGAAGTTCTTCCTAATGTTTAGGTGGAATCTTCTTTCTTGTAGTTCGGATCCATTACTCCGTGTCCGCTTCTCTGGAGCAGCAGAAAACAACCTTTCTCCCTCCTCTATGTGACATCCTTTTATATATTTGAACATGGCTATCATATCACCCCTTAACCTCCTCTTCTCCAGGCTAAACATGCCCCGCTCCCTTAGCCGTTCCTCATAAGGCATCGTTTCCAGGCCTTTGACCATTTTGGTTGCCCTCCTCTGGACACGTTCCAGTTTGTCTATGTCCTTCTTGAACTGTGGTGCCCAGAACTGGACACAGTACTCCAGGTGAGGTCTGACCAGAGCAGAATACAGTGGCACTATTACTTCCCTTGATCTAGATGCTATACTCCTATTGACTTGATCTAGATATTACTCCTATACTGTCAATCAACATATAAAAGTTAAACAGAAATCCACTCAACAGTTACAATAAATGATATCTAAACTATAATCAATAAAACAATGGCAAGCCACAGTACATAAAATAATACAATACACATTGCAAAGCAGGGACTAGAGGGTGGAGCAAGGCAGGTGGAAGGAGGCCTTGCCTGATGGATCCTCTCCCCTCACAGTACTTCCTTCAGGAACAACACCCTTACGAGGGGAATTCATGTTTCATAGGTGGAAAGAGGGGGGAATGGAGAGGAGGGAGCCTCCCCCAAGGAGGATTATGCTCAAGAGGAAGTCTGGATTGAACCCTTTTCAAATATCTACAGCTGAAACACCATAGTCTTGGTCAATCCATAAACCAGCCTGTCTTTCTTTGTCCTAGGTTATCATGAAGTTCCTGTTGCATCAAGTAAGTACCATATCATAATCCTTAAATTGTGTGCATATGTTGTAGAATTTTTCCACATTTATTATGGTATTTTTGTGATACACAAACGACATGAGAATACTTGCTATACTTGTTTGTATGACATTATTCTTGTTTATAAAACCCAATAAAATGAAAATATAAGAAATTGTGCTCCTCATGACAAACTCAAGGGAACGACTAAAATGAGGGTGTCAGCAATGGCCATGCCTCAGTGGAAGAGCATAAATTTTAACATGCTTTTGCTGATTGCTTTGCTGTGTGTCACAATCCCATCACACAATGTACCTCCTATTCTTCCACTTGCAGCCACTCTGCCAACGCCAACACAAACCCCAACCCCAGTCCCAACACTTGAACGCTTCACCCTCAACTGTACCGTAACCAACCTCAGATACAAGCCAGAAATGGGAACTCCCAACTCAAAGGCCTTCAACGCTACGGAGAAAGCGCTCACCATGCTGGTAAGTCTGATTCCCATCTACTTGTGAGACTGGCATGGGACAGTGTTGTGGGTGATCCTGATGACTTCACCAATTCAATGTTTCCTTCCTTCTTCAGTTTGGAAGAATTCTCCGCCAGAGCAGCATTGGCCCAGCGTACCTGGGATGTGAAGTGACTCAGCTCAGGTAAGCCTTCCTCAAGTGCGGAAACACATATCCTCTGGTCCTTTCTCACTCTGGCAAGAGTGACTTCCTCCCTCCTCTGTTTTCCACCTTTGTGGTCAGTCCTGCATCCCAAATTCTCTCTCTCTTTCCCCAGACCGGTGAGAGACGGGGATGAAACCGGAATGGACGCCGTCTGCACTTACCGCAACGACTCCACCACGCCCGCCTTTGACCGGGTGAAGGTGTATCACGAGATCGTCAACGAGACCAGCGGTTTCACCAAGATGGGTCCCTACAGCATGGAAAGATACAGCCTCTACGTCAACGGTAACCTAGTGTTTCTTGATGATTTCATGTACATAGATTACCTCTCTGTGTGGTTTGTGTCGTAGTTACAGTGCAGGTGTCCTGAGGGTCCCGTCTCCTCATCAGGTCTAATGTTTTCAGAGAGATGAGGGCTCCATCTCCTGAATGACATGCTTTCAAATGGGCTGAAGGAAGCTGAATTGGCTCCAGAGATAGATAGTGGAAGAGGTCATAACAACTGAGAAGGACGCCTCCTTCCTGCTCCTGCCCCTATTACTTCACCACGTGGCCCATGTTCAAGAAGCTTTCCTAATTCCCACAGAGCTGGTTGAGAGGGAGATAGATTGGAGACCCACCCACCCCGCTCTGAGCAGTACACCACGCAAGAGAATAATGGATGCAACTATTACCAGAATCTCCATCTGAAACACCACTGTCTTGCCTCATTCATAAACCTGTGTATCTTCTTTTTCCCCAGGTTATCATGAAGTCCCAGTTGAACCAAGTAAGTTTGCTTTAAAAATCTCTTCATGGCCCTTTCACCAAACTCAAGGAGTTATAGGAAGGCAATAAAAAGGTAAAGGTACCCCTGCCCGTACGGGCCAGTCTTGCCAGACTCTGGGGTTGTGCGCCCATCTCACTCAAGAGGCCGAGGGCCAGCGCTGTCCGGAGACACTTCCGGGTCACGTGGCCAGCATGACATTGCTGCTCTGGCGAGCCAGAGCCGCACACGGAAACGCCGTTTACCTTCCTGCTAGAAAGTGGTCCCTATTTATCTACTTGCACTTTAATGTGCTTTCGAACTGCTAGGTTGGCAGGCGCTGGGACCGAGCGACGGGAGCTCACCCCGCCGCGGGGATTCGAACCGCCGACCTTTCGATCAGCAAGTCCTAGGCGCTGAGGCTTTAACCCACAGCGCCACCCGCGTCCCTTAGGAAGGCAATAGTGTTGGCCATATGTCAATGGAAGAGCATCTATGTGAACACATATAAATTGATTGGTTGTTATTTTGGTAAGTCACACTATGCAGTGAGCCGCTAGCCCCTGCCTGATCCATTTATTTCATTTCCTGTGGCAGCCCCTCCACCTGCCCCGACACCAACCCCAGCCCTGGCAGTTGAACCCTTCACCGTCAACTGGACCGTAACCAACCTCAGGTATAACCCAGAAATGGGGACGCCCAATTCAAAGGCCTTCAACGCTACAGAGAAAGCACTCACCACGCTGGTAAGTCCAATTCCTGCCCACTTGTGAGAATAGCTTGCCATGATCCTATATGTTTGATGTCCTCAATGCCTCCTTCATTTTTCAGCTGGGAAGAATTCTCCGCAACAGCAGCATTGGCCCAGCGTATGTGGGATGCAAAGTGACTCAGCTCAGGTGAACCATCCTCAAACACGGGAACCCTTTAGCTCTCTCTGATCATCCCTTGAACAGACACAAATGATCCTGTCTCGCCCAACCGTTCCAACTGCTCATAATTCAGCTCAACCTCTCTCTCTCTCTTTCCTCCCAGACCTGTGAGTGATGGGGATGAAACCGGAATGGATGCCGTCTGCACTTACCGCAACGACTCCACCACGCCCACCTTTGACCGGGTGAAGGTGTACCATGAAATCGTCAACCAGACCAGCGGTTTCACCAAGATGGGTCCCTATAGCATGGAAAGATACAGCCTCTATGTCAATGGTAATCAGCTGTTTCCTAATCATCTCGTGTGCATGCCTTATTTCTGTGTGGGGTTTGTGTCATAGTACAGAAATAGACTGTCCTCTGAGCTCAGTTATTTTTTTTGTTGTGTCCATGATTTCCTGAGAAATGAGGCCACTCACTCCAGAATTGAGAGCTCTCTAAACAGGGATTTCATGTTTCATAGGCAAAAGGAACTTTGGGAGTGGGGAATGGAGAGGGGGGAGCCTCCCCTGAGGAGGATTACACTCAGTGGAAGTCTGGATTGGACCCTTTTCAAGTGTCTACAACTGAAACACCATAGTCTTGGTCCAATCATAAACCAGCATGTCTTTCTTTGTCCTAGGTTATAATGAAGTTCCTGTTGCATCAAGTAAGTACCATATGATTATCCATAAATTGTGCTCCTCATGACAAACTCAAGGGAACGACTAAAATGAGGGTGTCAGCAATGGCCATGCCTCAGTGGAAGAGCATAAATTTTAACATGCTTTTGCTGATTGCTTTGCTGTGTGTCACAATCCCATCACACAATGTACCTCCTATTCTTCCACTTGCAGCCACTCTGCCAACGCCAACACAAACGCCAACCCCAGTCCCAACACTTGAACACTTCACCCTCAACTGTACCGTAACCAACCTCAGATACAAGCCAGAAATGGGAACTCCCAACTCAAAGGCCTTCAACGCTACGGAGAAAGCGCTCACCATGCTGGTAAGTCTGATTCCCATCTACTTGTGAGACTGGCATGGGACAGTGTTGTGGGTGATCCTGATGACTTCACCAATTCAATGTTTCCTTCCTTCTTCAGTTTGGAAGAATTCTCCGCCAGAGCAGCATTGGCCCAGCGTACCTGGGATGCGAAGTGACTCAGCTCAGGTAAGCCTTCCTCAAGTGCGGAAACACATATCCTCTGGTCCTTTCTCACTCTGGCAAGAGTGACTTCCTCCCTCCTCTGTTTTCCACCTTTGTGGTCAGTCCTGCATCCCAAATTCTCTCTCTCTTTCCCCAGACCTGTGAGAGATGGGGATGAAACCGGAATGGACGCTGTCTGCACTTACCGCAACGACTCCACCACGCCCGCCTTTGACCGGGTGAAGGTGTACCATGAGATTGTCAACCAGACCAGCGGTTTCACCAAGATGGGTCCCTACAGCATGGAAAGATACAGCCTCTACGTCAACGGTAACCAAGTGTTTCTTAAGGATTTAATGTACATCCCTTATCTCTCTGTGTGGTTTGTGTCGTAGTTACAGTGCAGGTGTCCTGAGGGTCCCGTCTCCCCATCAGGTCTAATGTTTTCAGAGAGATGAGGGCTCCATCTCCTGAATGACATGCTTTCAAATGGGGGATTTCAAACTCTATGAGTTGAAGGAAGGTGAATTGGCTGCAGAGATAGATTGTGGAAGAGGCCATCAACAACTGAGAAGGATGCCTCCTTCCTGCTCCTGCCCCTATTACTTCACCACGTAGCCCATGTTCAAGAAGCTTTCACAATCCCCACAGAGCTGGTTGAGAGGCAGATAGATTGGAGACCCACCCACCCCGCTCTGAGCAGTACACCACGCAAGGGAATTCTGGATGCAACCTGTTACCGTATTTTTCGCTCTGTAAGACGCACCAGACCACAAGACGCACCTAGTTTTTGGAGGAGGAAAACAAGAAAAAAATAATCTTGAATCTCAGAAGCCAGAACAGCAAGAGGGATCGCTGTGCAGTGAAAGCTGCAATCCCTCTTGCTGTTCTGGCTTCTGTGAAAGATGCACAGCCTGCATTCGCTCCATAACATGTACACACATTTCCCCTTACTTTTTAGGAGGGAAAAAGTGAGTCTTATAGAGCAAAAAATGCGGTATTCTTTTGCCGGGAATCTCCATCTGAAATACCACTGTTTTGCCTCATTCATAAACCTGTGTTTCTTCTTTTTCCCCAGGTTATTATGAAGTCCCAGTTGAACCAAGTAAGTTTGCTTTAAAAGTTCCAACTTCTAAAAACTTCATGGCCCTTTCACCAAACTCAAGGAGTTATAGGAAGGCAATAGTGTTGGCCAAACACATTTAAATTGATTGGTTGTTATTTTGATCAGTCACACCATGCAGTGAGCTGCTAGCCTCTCCTGATCCATTTATTTCATTTCCTGTGGTAGCACCTCCACCAGCCCTGACACCAACCCCAGCCCTGGCAGTTGAACCCTTCACCGTCAACTGGACCGTAACCAACCTCAAGTATAACCCAGAAATGGGGACGCCCAATTCAAAAGCCTTCAATGCTACAGAGAAAGCTCTCACCACGCTGGTAAGTCCAATTCCTGCCCACTTGTGAGAATAGCTTGTCACGCTTCTATCGATTTTATGTACTCAATGCCTCCTTCATTTTTCAGCTGGGAAGAATTCTCCGCAGCAGCAGCATTGGCCCGGCATATGTGGGATGCAAAGTGACTCAGCTCAGGTGAGCCATCCCCAAACACGGGAACCTTTTAGCTCTGATCATCCCTTGAACAGACACAAATGATCCTGTCTCACCCAACCGTTCCAACTGCTCATAATTCAGCTCAACCTCTCTCTCTCTCTCTCTCTCTCTCTCTCTTTCCTCCCAGACCTGTGAGTGATGGGGATGAAACCGGAATGGATGCCGTCTGCACTTACCGCAACGACTCCACCACGCCCACCTTTGACAGGGTGAAGGTGTACCATGAAATCGTCAACCAGACCAGCGGTTTCACCAAGATGGGTCCCTACAACATGGAAAGATACAGCCTCTATGTCAATGGTAACCAGCTGTTTCCTAATCATCTCGTGTGCATGCCTTATGTGGGGTTTGTGTCATAGTACATAGTACAGAGCTCAGTTTTCTTGTTATGTCCACGATTTCCCGAGAGATGAGGCCTCTCACTCCAGAACTGAGAGCTCTCTAAACAGGGATTTCACGTTTCATTTCATTGGTGGAAAGAGGGGGGAATGGAGAGGGGGGAGCCTCCCCTGAGGAGGATTACACTCAGAGGAAGTCTGGATTGAACTCTTTTCAAGTGTCTACAACTGAAACACCGCAGTCTTGGTCCATTCATAAACCAGCATGTCTTTCTTTGTCCTAGGGTATAGAGAGGTTCCTGTTGCATCAAGTAAGTACCATATCATTATCCTTAAATTGTGCTCCTCATGACAAACTCAAGGGAACGACTAAAACGAGTGTGTCAGCAATGGCTGTGCCAAAGTGGAAGAGCATAACTTTTAACATGCTTTTGCTGATTGTTTTGATATGTGTCACAATCCCATCACACGATGTACCTCTCAGCACTGCCATGTGTCCTATTCTTCCACTTGCAGCCACTGTGCCAATGCCAACACAAACGCCAACCCCAGTCCCAACACTTGAACACTTCACCCTCAACTGTACCGTAACCAACCTCAGATACAAGCCAGAAATGGGAACTCCCAACTCAAAGGCCTTCAACGCTACGGAGAAAGCGCTCACCATGCTGGTAAGTCTGATCCCCATCTACTTGTGAGACTGGCATGGGACGTGTTGTGGGTGATCCTGATGATTTCACCAATTCAATGTTTCCTTCCTTCTTCAGTTTGGAAGAATTCTCCGCAACAGCAGCATTGGCCCGGCGTACCTGGGATGCGAAGTGACTCAGCTCAGGTAAGCCTTCCTCAAATGCGGAAACATATATCCTCTGGACATTACTCACTCTGGCAAGAGTGACTTCCTCCCTCCTCTGTTTTCCATCTTTGTGGTCAGTCCTGCATCCCAAATTCTCTCTCTCTTTCCCCAGACCGGTGAGAGACGGGGATGAAACCGGAATGGACGCCGTCTGCACTTACCGCAATGACTCCACCACGCCCGCCTTTGACCGGGTGAAGGTGTACCATGAGATCATCAACCAGACCAGCGGTTTCACCAAGATGGGTCCCTACAGCATGGAAAGATACAGCCTCTATGTCAACGGTAGCTTAGTGTTGGTTTTTAAAGATGATTTAGTAGTGGGGGGGGGGACATGTCTGTATTATTCTAATGCTTCTGAATGGTTGTTGTGGCTGTACACTTTGGAGTAAGGGATGGCGAGTTAGGAAGTTTGGGAAACTTTGTGCATCAGGTTGTTCCTTCACATTCAGGGAGGAATAACCAGATGCAGAAAAGAGAATGGGGGAGACACCTGGCTTGACAGCATGTGAAAAAGATCTAGGTGTCTTAGTAGACAGCAACTTAACATGTATCAACAGGGTGAGGCCGCAGCCAAAATGTGAATGCTATTCTAGGCTGCATCAACGGAAGTCTAGTGTCCATATCAAGGGACGTCATAGTCCCACTCTGTTCTGCCTTGGTCAGACCACACCTGGAATACGGTGTCCAATTCTGGGCACTACAATTTAAGAAGGATGTTGTCATGTGCAGAGGAGGGTGACTGAGAAGGGCCTGGAAACCAAACCTTATGAAGAATAGTTGAGAGAGTTGGGTAAGTTTAGTGTGGAGAAGAGGAGACTGAGAGGAGATAGGATAGCCATTTTCAAATGTTGGAAGGGCGAGGAAATATCTGAACATGGAAGATGGGGAAAGCTTGTTTTCTGCTGCACCAGAGGGTAGGACACAAACAAGTAGATTCAAATGACAAGAAAAGAGATTGTGACTAAACATCAGGAATAACTTTCTGATGGTGAGAGCTGTTCAACAGTGGAAGAGTGGGTCTTGGAACGTGGTGGGCTCTGTGCCTTTGATTGTGTATTTGTTACGGCTTCCTGGGATATTTTGGGGGGGTGGTTCCAAGTGTCCACGGGCAAGTGCATCTTGTAGACCAGGGATCAAAGCAAGAATTCTTTCATCACATTGATTCTAACACAAACCATTCCTTCCTTCCCTTTTGCCTAGGCTATAACGAACAGCCTCGTGAAACAAGTAAGTACCGTATTGGAAAACTGATTTTGAGTCCATTCAGAACACGGAGGGCAGGGAAGGAGAACCGGGGGTGACGGTCTCGTGATAGAGCTTCAAGCGGAAGACGGTCAAGATATCGTTGTTTTCCTTTCCAGCTGTTTTGCCCCCAGTGCCAACCAAAGCACCAACCCCAACCCCACCCCTGGTGGTTGAACGATTCACCGTGAACTGCACCGTAACCAACCTCAGATACAAGCCGGAGATGGGAACTCCCAATTCGAAGGCGTTCAACTCCACAGAGAAAGCACTCACCACTCTGGTAAGACTGGTTCCAGTTGGTGTCGATTGTTTGGGATGCTGTGGTGGTGTTCCCTGGTAGTTTGACCTCCACTGACAGGCTAGGACTTTTTCTTCTTCTTTATTTAGACAGGGATTTGGTAAGAGTTGGGTTCCCATCCACTTGGCAAAATTGATTCTTGCAAGGTGCGGAGCGTCTAGGTTCAACGTACTCAATGTATCTTGTCTTTTTCCCCAGCTTGGCAGAATCTTCTCCGTAGGCAGTATCGGCCCAGAGTATTCGGGATGCAAAGTCACAGCTTTGAAGTAAGCCTTGCTTTTTTCCTGAGTCACGCAGAGTGATGCAGCGGTTTCACCCTCGAAGCCCTAGTGATGAAGTAGAATCCACACACGAGACTTTGAAGATGACTCTTTACTTGCAGGATGGCAGCTATTACAAGCAATATCATACATATATGCTAAGTCCAATGCAACACATCTCACTCTCTTGAGTCCAAGAGAGGATCTTCTAACTTCCCAAACTCCTTTGAAGCAGCCCATATATTATAGCTTGTCTGTCCTCACCAGACATACTCATGGTCACTTGTCTGTCCTCCTTCAGACATACTCACGGTCACTTTTAAAGGGCATTAACACATTGACAAGCCCATGATTCAGCATTTCTGTGCCCTTAATTGGAGTTACAAGATTTTGCAGGCATTACATTACATTAGTAAAGGTAAAGGGACCCCTGACCATTAGGTCCAGTCGTGACCGACTCTGGGGTTGCAGTGCTCATCTCGCTCTATAGGCGAAGAGAGCCGCCGTACAGCTTCTGGGTCATGTGGCCAGCATGACTAAGCCGCTTCTGGCAAACCAGAGCAGCGCACGGAAACGCCGTTTACCAGCCCGTTTACCATCCCGTTTACCATCCCTATTTATCTACCTGCACTTTGGCGTGCTTTAGAACTGCTAGGTTGGCAGGAGCAGGGACTGAGCAACGAGAGCTCACCCAGTCACGGGGATTCGAACTGCTGACCTTCTGATTGGCAAATCCTAGGCTCTGTGGTTTAATCCACAGCGCCACCCGCATCCATTACATTACATTACATTACATAGGTTTTATTTTCCCCAGCACAACTTATTCTTTGTAAAATACATTTTCTAATAAATACAGTACAAATACCAAAGGGCAGGTAATGGGGAAGTGAAGGTAGTGAATCTGGCCCTGGAGAGTGGAGAATACCAAGCTAGATGGTCTGACTGAGTATGGGGCAGCTTCCTGAGCTCCTGTTTAACCTAGAGGACTAGAATCTTGTACTACATTTAGAAGAAAGACCATAACTTGGTTGCTGAGCGTCTGCTATGCAAGCAGTAGGCCCCAGACTCAGTCCTCAGCATCTCTGGGTAGGGCAGGGTGGTAAGGAAGACTGCTGGAGAGGTGCTGCCAATCAGTGTGGACAATATTGAACTTGATGGACCAGTCGGTATAAGTCGGTTCCCTGGGTTCCTAGTTAAACCAGCCATTGTTCAAAATCATGAGGACCAGCGGCATCCTGTGCCCTTCTGTTCCTAACAATTCAATACTCCTTTCTCTTGACCCACACATCCCAATATTTCTGCTAAAAACCCTCTCTTTCCTTCTCCCTCTCCTCTCAGACCGGTGAGAGGCGGGGATGAAACCGGAATGGACACCGTCTGCACTTACCGCAATGACTCCACCACGCCCGCCTTTGACCGAGTGAAGGTGTACCATGAAATCGTCAACCGGACCAGTGGTTTCACCAAGATGGGTCCCTACAGCATGGAAAGATACAGCCTCTACGTCAATGGTAGATATTGATTATATATTTTTTGTGGTTTTTTTTGATTTTGTTCTGTGAACCACCCTGAGACCTCCAGGTATGGGGTAGTATATAAATTCAGTAAATGATAATAATAAAATAATGGTAGCCAAATTTAAAGTGAAATGAAAAAATGAAAACGAAACGACATTGGCCAAATAGGTTTTATGCTTTTCACGTGCGTTGAATACCTGTGGGTGTGTCTGCAGTATTGCAATGTTGCCAAAGGCTCGTTCCGGTACAGCAAGGGAGCAGTATGCTCTGCCATAATGGGAATCCTTTTTCACACAACATTTATTGTGCTTTCCTTATATATATATGGAGGGGGTTTGGTGCCTGCATATTGCAATCAGGGATTGTCGTAATAATTCTTTCTTCCCCTTGCCTTTCTTGCTAGATAGATGGATAGATAAATTTATTTATTACGGTCGGAGACCACCTTATAAAACACACTTGGGGGTACAATCCCAGAAGGAAAGCAAACATTTAAAACAACGTACAACAATAAATTTATAATTTATAAAGGTGATAAGCGTATAGACACTTAAAACTTTAAGATAAGCTACCGCAGAGAGATGACCCAGAATCACCCATGTAACCGAGTTTGGGGATTTTCTTAACGAACTAGTTTGGGTTGGGGATGGTCTGTGCCTACAGATCTGTACACAGAATCTGGAGACCATCCGGGTCATCTTATGATCTTTGCCTAACAGGAAAAGGTCAAATTTTTGCTTTTCCGGGAGGTCAGTGAGCCTCACCAGCCGGGGACCAATGGTCTCACTACTACGTGCCTCTTCCTAAAAGGGACATCTAAAGAACAAGTGCTCTGTCCTATATCCCCCCAATGAACAGGCACAAAGTCTCTGAGCATATGGGACTTTTTCAAAGGATCCTTCCAGGACCAGCGAGGGCAGAGCTGAGCTTCTGGCAAGTGTAAAAGCCCTTCTTGCATTTTTGGATACGAGAAAGAAGAGATATGCTGCTGACTTTCATGCTAATTGCTCTTATCTTTCCTTTTTGCCTAGGCTACAATGAGCAACCCCTCAAACCAAGTAAGTCCCACAATCAAATCCTAACATTGTTCAGAATGTGGGGAGAGGGGAAGGGGAGCCAGAGGATGTTGGGTCTCTTGCAGAGCTTCAGTGGAAGAGCCTTGATTTATAGCTGTTTTCCTTTCCAGCTGTTTCACCCTTGGTGACCAAAGCACCAACCCCAACCCCAGCCCCAGCAGTTGAACGGTTCACCATGAACTGCACTGTAACCAACCTCAGATACAAGCCAGAGATGGGAACTCCCAATTCGAAGGCGTTCAACTCCACAGAGAAAGCACTCACCACTCTGGTAAGACTAGTTCCAGTTGGCGTTGATTGTTTGGGATGCTGTGGTGGTGTTCGCTGGTAGTTTGACCTCCAATGGTAGGCTAGGACCTTTTAGACATAAGCTTTGGTCCATAAACTGGCTATTAAGTAGGTTGTAACTGTTGAGATGTGACTTGATGCTAGGAGAGGATAAATTTATTAGATATTATCTTCCCTTCCTCCTGTTTGTGAGTTCAGCAGCTTGAAAGGGAAGCTTAGATCAGCTAATTTTAGCCTTAATTCAGGATGCCTTAAGGCAGACTGGATTCTCCTGGTATTTCCCCTTAAAATAACAATCACACAATCTCGTAAAAGGTACAAATAACATTTACTCACTCGGAATATTGGATTCAAAATAACAATACTCAACGGATCCTTTCTTTTTCAGTTTGGAAGAGTCCTCCGCAGTAGCAGTATTGGCCCGGCGTATATGGGATGCAAAGTGTCAACCCTGAGGTCAGCCTTCCTTTTACTTGTAGACGTTTCAGCTTTGATCATCTCTTCCCCAGAGAGCAGCAGCTTCATTCCTCTGGGACCCACCCCTTGGGCCAGTTCCAAAGGCTCCTGCTCAAATCCTTTCTCTTGCCTTCCAGACCGGTGCAAAACGGGGACGAAACCGGGATGGATGCCGTCTGCTCTTACCGGAACAGCTCCGCTGCCCCGGCGTTCGACCGGGTGAATGTGTATCACGAAATCGTTAACCGGACAAGTGGCTTCACCAAGATGGGGCCCTACGACTTGGAGAGACACAGTCTCTACGTTAACGGTAGCGAAGCAGTTTTGGGGCGTTTGCTCATCGTGCTATAGATTGCCTCAGGCGCCATGCTTTTGAGTGGCCTTCCCATTGGGGTGTCAAGGGGCTAACAGGAAGATCAGGTCATTCACAGGTCAGAGAGGAAGACATGAGTCTATCACGCATTTAGTTTCTTTATTAAGGGAGGGGGAAAAATACCGTATTTTTCGCTCTATAGGACGCACCAGACCATAGGAGGGGGAGAATGGGGGGGGGGGAATTCTCCCCCTCTCTGCTCAGTGCCCCTTCAGCGAAGCGGCAGGAGAAACGGAGCCCCTTCCATTTCTCCTCCCGCTTCGCTGAAGGGGCGCTGCACAGAGAGGGAAAACTGTGCTGCGCCTTTCCAGCGAAGCGAAGCCTGGAGAGCGAGAGGGATCGGTGTGCACCAACCCCTCTCACGCTCCAAAGGCTTGCGGATAGCTGCCTTTGAAGTCTCCACAGAGCAGTGGGGTGAAGACACCCCGCTGCCCTGCAGAGGTTTTGCGCAGCCATCCCCAAGCTAGAACAGCGAGACGGAGCGCTCCGTCTCGCTGTTCTGGCTTCAGGGACAGCCTTTGTAGCCTCCGTCTCCCTGTTCTGGCTTTGGGCTTAGCCGCGCAGCCTGCATTCGCTCTATAGGACGCACACACATTTCCCCTTAATTTTTGGAGGGGAAAAAGTGCGTCCTATAGAGCGAAAAATACGGTACAAGCAGGCACCAATCCCAATATGGAGAACTGCAGAGCAGAGAGGAGGGAGAATCTTGCCTATTTTCCTGCCGGTTTTGCCTTAGAGAAAAATGCTTCAGTGTCTTCTTTTTCTCTCCACAAACTATCACCTCTTCTCTTTCCCCCCCAGGATATCATGAAGTCCCTGTGGAACCATGTAAGTAGAACTATGAAAGGCTGTAGAATCCTTACAAGAGGCATATGGATGCCTTGATAATGTCTCTAATGGGAATGAAGTGTAAACCTGTTAGTTCTGCATTGAAATGAGAGCCAAGCTGAATTTTCTCCCTCTTGTCTAAGACTGCCTCCATCTCCACTTTATTCCAGCAACAACTCAGCCCCCCCCAGCTCGGGCAATTGAGCACTTCACTGTCAATTACACTGTCACTAACCTCAAATACAAGTCGGAGATGGGAATTCTGCATTCGAAGGTCTTCAATGCCACGGAAAAAGCTCTCACCACGGTGGTAAGAGTCTGGTTCTGATCCAGTTGTTGATAATTGATTGTGGTCCTTTTGGGTTGACATAGTCAGTGTATCTGCTGTAATGTTACTCCTCAAAGGTCCCTAGGAGCTCTGGGTTCTGTTTGTGTCAGAGACCAGCCTTGTGCTGGACCGTCGCCCAGTTGGGCTCTTCTCTCTCTCTTTTAAACTTTTATTCACATGGTTTCATCATCACAGTTTTCATTCAACATTACAATCAAAAAAATTTAAAATTAGAACATTCACTTCCCTTCTGCCTTTCCATGCCTTCCTCCTAACATCATTTACTGCTGCATATTATAATCACGCGGGTGGCGCTGTGGGTTAAACCACAGAGCCTAGGACTTGCCGATCAAAAGGTCGGCGGTTCAAATCCCTGCGACGGGGTGAGCTCCCGTTGCTCCATCCCAAATCCTGCCAACCTAGCAGTTTGTAAGCAAGTCAAAGTACAAGTAGATCAATAGGTACTGCTCCGGCGGGAAGGTAAACGGTGTTTCCATGCGCTGCTCTGGTTTGCCAGAAGCAGCTTAGTCATGCTGGCCACATGACTCAGAAGCTGTATGCCGGCTCCCTCAGCCAATAAAGCGAGATGAGCGCCGCAACCCCAGAGTCGGCCACGACTGGACCTAATGGACAGGGGTCCCTTTATCTTTACCTTATTATAATCACTCTGTCTTTTCTCTTTTCACATTTTATTTCCACATCTTTTGCACTGCTGAATTTATTCTAAACCTGCTATTGTTTTGACCCGTTTACAGAAGTTCTTCATTTAGTCTACAAACATTTTCCAATCCTCTTTAAATGCTTTTTCCTATAGCTCTCCAATTCTGCTGGTTAGATTCACCAACTCTGTGTGTTCCATCGTATTTGCCATTCCTCCCTCGCTGGGACTGCCCCTCCCCCCACTTCTGAGCATATAAAATCCAAGCTGCAGTTGTTGCATAGAGAAATAAATTCTGGCAGTTCTTAGAAACATCTGACTCAATTATTCCTAAGAGAAATGCCTCTGCTCTTTTTGGGGAAAAACTTTTAAACATCCCCCCCCCCCAATCTCATTATAAATTGTCTCCCAAAAGTCCCAGCTAGGCTCTTCCCATCACAGAACGCCTGTGAGTCAGCCTATTTTCCAGAGGGTACCCCACCTACAATCCCATGTTGCAGGGTTTTTTTTTGTAGTTTAAATGAACTGTATTAGAAATAAATGCCACTGTCCAACCTCCCATGTTTTTTTGGGGGGGGCGGGAGTTGCTCCTGTCTACAAGGTATTTTTGGTAGCAATGATATTAACAAGTTTAAACAAAGTTTACCAACGGTATTTTTTCTCTTTCAGCTTGGCAGAGTCATCTCCAGTGGCAGCGCCGTTGGCCCAAACTATCAGGGATGCCAAGTGACAGCTCTGAGGTCAGCCTTCCCCAACACAACCCTGCCTTCCCACTCTCTAAGGCTCCTCAAACTGTGTCTGTGTACCTCTGGCCTCTGTTCTGCCCTCCTCATTATTCTGCGTGTTCCTGGAGAGAGCTTGTTGCAGCCAGAGACTCCCTGGTTCTTCTGCAGCCTCTTGACTCCCCTCCTCTGCTTCAGCCGGGAGTCTGAACTGCTCCCTGTCACAGACTCCTCCTGCTCACGAAACCCTGTTGCCCCTTCAGGATCCAACACCACCTCCTAATCTTCCCTTTCCTCGGTGAGATCTGAGCCTTCCTCCTCTGGAGGTTCTGTTGAGGGTTCCCCGGCTGGCTCTCCCCACCACTCCTCATCGTCCAGGCAGTCCCTGACATGTGCTTACGTTGTCCAGACAATAGGAACCGCATCTTCTCCATCACCTCTGGTCCACTCTGAGTGTTTCTCTTTGCATTCTTCCTTCCCTTCCAGGCCGTTGAGAGATGGGGATGAAACGGCAATGGATGCCGTCTGCGAGTACAGGGCTCCATCCCCCTCCTCCCCCTTTGACCGAGTAACGGTGTACCACGAAATTGTGAACAAGACCAATGGCTTCACCAAGATGGGGCCCTACAATCTGAGCACAAACAGCCTCTATGTGAACGGTAACCAGGTTTTCGATTCGTCCGATATTTTCTATCTGCCTGCTGTGTCTCAGAACGTTTAGGATATAAGCCAGTAGGGTTGCTAACCTCCAGTTTTAGGGCCTGATCTGCCCCACCAAGTCTGACAACTTCAGAAAATAGGTAAAGAAAGACCACTTCACCCCATCCATCCATCCATCCATCTCCTCCTCATTTTATTATTTGTACCCAGCCACTCTGGGTGGCTTCCAGCACATACAGGAACATAATAAAACATCAAACATAAAAAACTTCCTGATACAGGGCTACCTTCAGATGTCTTCTAAAGGTTGTATAGTTACTTATGTCCTTGATATCTGATGGGAGGGTGCCACCACCAAGAAGGCCCTGTGCCTGGTTCTCTGTAGCTTCACACCTCCCAGTGAGGGAACCGCCAGAAGACCCTCAGAGCTGGACTTCTGTGTCCAGGCTGGACAATGGGGGTGGAGACTCTCCTTCAGGTATACTGGGCCGAGGCTGTTTAGGGCTTTAAAGGTCAGCACCAACACTTTGAATTGTCCCCGGAAACGTACTGGGAGTCAATGTAGGTCTTTCAGGGCCGGTGTTATATGGTCACGGCAGCTGCTCCCAATCACTAGTCTGGCAGCTGCATCCTGGATTAATTGTAGTTTCCGAGTCACCTTCAGAGGTAGCCCCACGGAGAGCACATTGCAGTATCCCAAGTGGGAGATAACCAGAGCATGTCCCACTCTGGTGAGATGGTGTGCAGACTGTCTCAACCATCGCACCAGATGGAGTTGGTAGACATCTAGATGAAAGTAGACCAAAAATGCAAAAATATTAGCCGTTCCTGGTATAAAGAAACCCAACCCTATCCTAGGACAAAAGTGGGCGAACGTCCATGCTAGAAAGTGGAAGCAACTGAACCCGATTCTGCCTTTAAACAAGTGTTCCTTTTCTTTCCAGGTTACAATGAAGCATCACTTCCTGCAAGTAAGGGCATAATAATTGCAATGCTTAATTTTTATCTGTTGTGGGCAGGCTAATCCAAAATTGTGGTGCATCAGTGATTCTCAAAGTGGGGAGTTCTGTCCCCGGGGGAGAATGGGATTGCTTAGGGGGTTGCTAAGAGGCAAGGAAGGGGGCGGCACAGGGGTGCAGGAAGTGTAAAGTTCATTGAATGAAACTGAGTAGTTTTATTTGAATTCTGAATGAAAGGGCAATCAGTTGTTACTGTTCTATTGTGTCACGATCTTCCTCATGAGAACCGCTCTTTCGAACAATGCTTTTCCTTTTTTGCAAATATTATTTTTTACTACGTTTCCAAAATTTCTCAAATTATCTTCAGGTTAGATAATTACATAGCAGCTTTGTATCATGGATTGATTTCCCACCCACGGTGTTTTTATTCAAACCCGTTGCATCATTCTTGACTTAATTAATTCATCTTGGATTGAACAATGCTTTTAAAAAAAGAAAAATTATATAGAGCAGAGTAGGGGCACTGGGGTGAGTTTTGAGTTTTTGGAACCAACAGGAGGCTGCCCTGAAAAAGCGTGGCAACTTCTGATCTATCAGTTAGATGGATAGCCAATTGCAGCGCTGAGAGCCGGATCAGAAATAATTAAAAGCTGAGCAAGAGCAGGAAAGAAAGGCTGGAATTGAAGCCACATGTGTATGGAGTGCGCATCATCTCAGTGTGACTAATCAAGTGACTCAGGTCATAGGAGACATTTCTGGGGGGCCCTGGCTGCCAGGGCACCCACAAAACTATCACTGCAGGTGCCCAGCCAGGCGACCCAACACGGTGTGTGCATGACAACACACAGCACGCCAAGGCCCAGCAGGGCCAGTCATCATGTGTGTGATGCTCGTGAGGTCATGCGCATGCGCCGGGCACCCACAATGCGGGGCGGACCCCTCACCACCCCTGGACTTCGCATTATGCCCCGTAGCCCTATAAGGAAAAGGTGGCGCTGACTTAAGTTTTTTAAAGGGGGGCAGCAGTTCCAGGGCCCAATGAACCAGACCCAGAGGGCTCAGACCCCTTGGGTGACCCCCTTCTGGTGGGAGGATCTGGAGAAGAGAAGGCCAGCGCACTGTTCGGAGATGTCTGAGGCAGTAGGACAGGATAGTGAGGCTGTGAATACCTCCTGTTGAACTCCAAACCTCATCATCTTCAGCCAGCATGGCCAACGGTCAGGGGTGATGAGAGTGGAGGATCTGGAGGGTCAAGTCTGGATAGGCTTGCATAAACAAAAAATGTTTTTGGCTGGAGTCAGAAGAGTACAGGAAAGGCGTCCGCCTGTTGTCAAGAGGCAGGCAGTTCCAAAGGGTAGTTTCTGCTACACTCAGAAATGGATTTCTTCCAAGTGTAGAATGAGTATTATGTGCTGGTAATGCAGACTGGTGAAGTCGGGGGGGGGCATACATGGGGCAAGGCTGTGATCTCACAGATTATCTCCCTTACAGCTGCCTCGCCCACCACTCCTCGGCCTCCAACGGCAGTGGATCACTTTACGGTGAACTACACCGTGACGAACCTCATCTACAAGCCAGAGATGGGCACTCCCCAGTCGAAGGTGTTCAACGCGACGGAGAAGGCCCTGTCAGCATTGGTAAGCCCCCCCCCCCCCGCCCAAGAGCACACCTTCTGCTTTTTAAGGGCAGGAATAAGTAAATGACAGCACCTTCCTTTCTGCCTAGATGGGTCGAGCAGTGCAGACAAGCAGCGTTGGACCTGCGCTCATGGGATGCAACGTTTCGGAGTTCAGGTATGGAAGCGGGATGGGTGCTTTTTTATCATTATTTTAAAGGTGGTCTTTGAAATTTTATCAGGCAAGTAAAAGATGCAAAATAACAAATATGTCACAAAGCTTGATTGTGAATTTAGTCCTTGTATTAAATACCTCAATACACATCTTAATCTCTGGCAGGGCAAGCGGCTCACATGGAGCTTTCCATGGTGCTGAAATGTCTGACCTGCCTTGTCCTCTTGGAGGTGCCACTCCAGCAAAGTCCCTGCTCCTTGCCAGAACCACTGGTCCTTTCCTGGGACATCTAATTTAGGGCCAAAAGTGTTGAACTGGAAGGAAAAGATCCCACTTAGGAAGAGTTTTTAAGTTTTTAACCTTTCCATTTCCAGATCCATAGATGACGGGAAGAACACTGGCGTGGACAGCGTCTGCAGCTACCAGAGAGACTTGATGGCATCCCCTTTTGACCGGGTGCAGATGTATCGGGAGATTGCCAACAAGACAATGGACTTCACCAAGATGGGGCCCTACGACCTGGACCGGGACAGCCTCCTCGTGAATGGTGAGGAGAGGAAGCTTGCTGTTATGGCTGAAGCATGTGGAGGTGTTCTTGTGGAAATCAAACCACAGGACAAGTCTTGTTTCTCAGCTGAAGCTTCTCTTTATTCTAAATGCCTGGGGCAGAGATCTCTGCTCTACTGAGAGCCAGAGAATCCTGTGAACATGACTGTGCTGGTCCGGGGGGGAGGTTACCGTGAGGCGAGGTCCAGGACCTGAGTCGAGGGTCGGCAGACAGTCCTCCATGGGCGAAGCGGGGAGCCGGGCAAGGACAGGAACTATGGGGGAACAGGACTGGGTGCTGGCCGAAACAGCTCTTCAACGATGTTGCTCCCGCAACCTGGAATCGGGCTGACTGGCCTTTATCTTCTCTGAGGCCAGGGGCGGTCCCGGCCCCCAGGAGCCCCGCCTCTCCTGGCCTTAAGGCGAGCACTCCTCCTGGGAGAAACCAGTTCCCTCCGCCTCTCTGCCCTGAGCCTCTGCAGCTCAGGTGAGGCTGGTGGGTTACTGGACCCAGGGGGAGACTCACTTTCCCCTGACAGGGCTGGGAGAGGCGCACCTGTAGGCAATGCGTCCTCAATCACCTCCGGAGCCAGAGTGGATTCACCTGGTGCCTGCTCCCGAGGATCCGGCACAGGTGCAGGCGCTTCAGAATCAAGGCCCTGCCCCACCTCAGCCAGCCCTGGAGGCGGGGACTCCTGTGCCGGCTGGGATTCCTCCGGTTCAGCCTCTGAATCGGATTCCCAGGCCATCACAATGACACAGAGGGCAGAATATTTCTGCAATGATTGACATGCCATAAGCGCAGAGACTAACTTCCTCAAATATAATTGCAATATTACATAATATTCAGAGCAATAGTTCAACATGTTCCAGAATAGTTGCTTACTCTTTAAATTCAGCTTGTGTTGCTGTGATTTACTGGCAGTGTATGGTTACATGTGTTAGAACGTTGTTCTCCATCCTGATTTCTTTGGCCTGGGTGGGACATTCCCCCAATAATGTGCTCTCTGCTATCTTCTAACAAGTCTTCCCTCCTTCAACAGGTTATCATGAACCATCTCGTCAACCCGGTAAGTGTGCTATTCACAGAACTGCGACACCTCAACCACATCCCAGCCAAACATAGAAAAATGCCCTAGCATCAGTTTCCTAGCGTTTCAGACTCAAGGGCCTTTCCCAGACCTGCCCTGGAGATGCTTGAGATTGAACCCTATGCTTTCCTTTAAAATAAAGCAAAAATCCAGCCCTTGTGGCCAGTGGTGTAGCATGGGTTGCCAGTGCCCAGGGCATTCAAGCATCACCCAGGAGATTGCAGCCACAGATGTAAGAAAAGTATGGAGAGGTCACTTCCTGATTTGCATGGAGAAGCCATTTTCAGTGAAGCCCAGCGACGGAAGTGTGCAGCTGTGTTGAGGCAGCACCAGATATTGAAATTTTATGCCCATAACAATTTTGCACCCTCTGGGGGGCCCCTATGCTACGCCACTGCATAGGGCTTGTCAGTTGTTGGCATAACATCTTAGCTTCCGCTTTGCCACGTATCTCAGCCTCGGGGCAGCCACCCCTGTGACCCTCCCTCACACCACGCCACTGCTCGTGACCTTACCTGCTGCCTTGTGGGACATCTGGAGGGCCCTGCGCAAATCCAGAGTGGAGTCCCTAAGGCTGTTGAACGGTGCCTTGTCAGCCTGCTTCCAGCAACTCCTTCAGTCAAGCGGGTGCCAAACGTCTTGCTCTGCTTTCTTTGGAATTTACAGGACCACCTCTCCTGGTCTGCCCCACAGAGGACCTTAAGGTCCATGAATAATCATAGTTTAGAGGTCCCGGGTCCTAAGGGAGTCAGACTATCCTCCACCAGGGCCAGGGCCTTCTCAGTGATGGCTCCGACCTGGTGGAATGCTCTGTCCCAGAAGACCAGGGCCCTGCAGGATTTAACCTCCTTCCGCAGGGCCTGTAAGACAGAGCTATTCTGCCTGGCTTTCAATTTGAACCTAGCCTGATCTTTTATTCCCCTTCCTTCCCTCCCCTCCCCTTTTTATGAAGATTCCCCGTTCTGGGATCCCACAGCTAATTCTCCCCTGGTCTCCTCGCTGGCCCAAATAGGACTAATTTAGCCAGCTAGCCCTGGTGATGATCTAATGTTTATTGGATGGATTTCCCCCCTAAATTGATTTTTGAATTCTGAATTTATTGTTATTCACGTTTTATACTGTATTTTATGCTGTTTTTTGTTGCATCAATTAAGTGTTTTAAATTTGTTGTTAGCCGCCCTGAGCCCGTTTTTGAACTGGGAAGGGCAGGGTATAAATAAAATTTTATTATTGTTATTATTATTATTATTATTATTATTATTATTATTAATAATAGACCCCCTCAGCGAGACCTCCAGACACACGGCTCAGGCTTATGGCATTTCAGGTGCCACATGAAAAAACTGTTTCAGCTCAGCTCTTGGAGACAGCAATATTCTTGAGGAGACAGACATGTACGTCAATAATGGCTTCTTCTTCTCCGTTATGCAGACCTTGTCCCAACTCCTCCCCACCCTCCAGCCAGTGAACGCTTCACAACCAACTTCACTCTGACCAACCTCAGATACAAGGCGGAGATGGGGGATCCGAGTTCGAAAGCTTTCACTTCCACACAGAGAGTTGTGACCACTTTGGTGAGTCTCAGTATCCCTGTACTTCGTGGCTGCAGGATATTAGTAGGTCTGGATGAGAAATTTGGTCTTTGCAAAGTCTTGTATGGTCTGGCATGTTCTGCAAATGAGGAGCAAAGACCTCTGTTCTTTCGCCACTTCCATGGGAAGAAGGCCCATTGAATTCAACAGGACTTACTTCTGAGCAGATAGTCATAGAATCATAAAACTGTAGAGCTTGAAGGGACCCTTAGAGTCATCTAGTCCACCCCCCCCCTGCAATGCACTAATGTGCAGGTGTTCCATATGGGGACTGAACATGCAACATCATGCTCTAACCAGCTGAGCTATCATGCACTGGTCACAATCCACCTGCTTTTTCCCTTCCCAAAATTTCCAATGTGAGCATTTTTATTTTTTGCAGGGGAGGGGAATCAATTAGTGCATAAATGAGACGGAATACGTATGCACTGACAGATTATGCCTCACATTCCTACCAGCAACAAGAGTGATAATTATTATTGGTAATTAACAATGGGTTGGCTCCATCTAAGTTCTAAGAGTAGACTCACTGAAATTAATAGGTCCAAGCTAGTCAATAGATATTAGCTTCAGTGGAGCTACCTTGAATAGGGGCAACATTGAGTACTGTCCAATATCATACAATAATCTGTTAAACTCACTTCCAGGTTAAAATTGTTCGTAACCCCAAAACCATAACTTGAAGCATTCATAACCTGAGGTAAAGGTAAAGGGACCCGACCATTAGGTCCAGTCGTGGCCGACTCTGGGGTTGCGGCGCTCATCTCGCTTTATTGGCCGAGGGAGCCGGCGTACAGCTTCCGGGTCATATGGCCAGCAGGACTAAGCCGCTTCTGGCGAACCAGAGCAGCGCACGGAAACGCCGTTTACCTTCCCGCCAGAACGGTACCTATTTATCTACTTGCACTTGCGTGCTTTCAGACTGCTAGGTTGGCAGGAGCAGGGACAGAGCAACAGGAGCTCACCCCGCCGTGGGGATTCGAACCGCCGACCTTCTGATCGGCAAGTACTAGGCTCTGTGGTTTAATCCACAGCGCCACCCGCGTCCCTGAGATACCACTGTACTATTACCATTAATCTACTCATAATAATCATTATTCTATTATTGTTACTGTTAATTTATTATCTCTCAACAACAATAATAGCAACATTTAAAAAAACACCACCTGTGCTTCCTCCAATGAACTCGAGGTCACCACCCCCTAATCGCCCCTCACAACAACCTTGTTAAGTAGGCTAGGCCCTAAGGTCACTGGCCCAACATAATGGACAGTCATACCTCATGTTACGTCCGCTTCAAGTTATGTTCTTTCAGGTTACGTCCTGTGGCGACCTGGAAGTACCGGAAAGGGTTACTTCCGGCTTTCGCCACTTGCGCATGTGCAGAAGCGCAAAATGACATCACGCGCATGCGCAGAAGTGGCGAATCGCAACCCGCCTGTGCGCAGATGCGCCGCTGCAGGTTGCGTTCTTTTCATGTTGCGAACGGGCCTCCGGAACGGATCCTATTCACAACCAGAGGTACCACTGTACAGTTGGTTTAGTCATAGAATCATAGATTCATAGAATGGTAGAGTTGGAAGGGACCCCCAGGGGTCATCCAGTCCAACCCCCGGCAACGCAGGAATCTCAGCTCAAGCATCCTTGACAGACGGCCATCCAATCTCTGCTTAAAAACCTCCAAGGAAGGAGAGTCCACCACCCCCTGAGTAAAAAGTAGATTCTGCTCTATTCAACGGGACTTATTCCCCAATAAGCGTGTGATGCAGTCGTTCCTAAACCAAAGGGCCAGGCTAGATGCCAGACAACCCAGAGTCAGAATTTAATAATTCCTTATCCAGAGTCGGGCTAATATGAGATTCTTTTCTGCCTTTAGCTGGGCCAAATGTTGAGGGAAAGCAGCGTTGGAGACGCTTATTCCGGATGCAACGTTACGGCTTTACGGTAAGATGTCTCGACTTCCCGGAACCTTCCATGTGGCTATTATTGATTTGAACCCAAATGTTGCTGTTAATCAGTATTTCCTTTCCTATAAATTTCAACACCAGTGTCCTGCAACCTTTAGCCGAGGATCATAGAATTGTTGAGCTGGTTTAGCCAAGCAAAGAGTAATTCTGTTGGGTTTTTTGGAAAATATGTTATGGGGTTGTTATTCTTGTTGTTTTTCAGAAATGCTTATTAAATTTTTCGCAATACAGTAAAAAGTACATTTAGAACAGATGAAATCATAAAAAAAGAGAGAGAAACAGCAAAAGAAAAGAGAGGAAGACAAAGGAAGAAAGGAAACAGAGGAAAAAGGCAATAGAGCACACACATGCACATATATGTTAATAAAAGGAAGGGCAGGAATTGAAATACACACAATGGGAAATGATGAGATGAAGACTTAAAAAATAATGTTAAAATGAAAAAATATTTTAAATGATAAAGTGACAAGTAGATTAAAATATGTTTTATAATACAGCAAGATAGGAAGAACAAGGGCACACGTGAAGGAAGGGTGGGAAAGCAACGTTTAAATATTCAATTCAGATCAATTTGACATGAATTTGTTAATTTTTTTGAAAAGCAGTACAAATTACTAAAGATAAACTGGGGGGAAATAATAATTGTAGGGTTGGAAGGGACCCCAAGGGTCATCTAGCCCAACCCCCTGTGAAAAGAAATTCCTGTTCAGTCAGAGTAAAGGGTGGTGCACCAAAATGAAATAAAGGAAAAGGAAAAAGAATATAAAGCAATCAATGGTAGGATTTGAGAACCACAGGCCTGGCCCTCCAGATCTTTTGCTATCTGGCCCTTGGCAACTCTCCTAGGCCACACCCCCTCTCCCCAGGCCACACCCCTCTCCCTAGGCCACACCCTCACTTCACTCCCCAGGTGACTGATTTTCACCAGGCTAGAGATAGGCCCTGGACTGCTGGTCTTGCCCTTTACTTGCCTGCAGAGGATTCTGTGACTTTGGGTAGCAGGTGGTACAACGATTGCCATTTCTGCCTCTGGCATGCGGCCCCTGCAGTGTAGCCCCTGGGCCGGAAAAGCGCTCACCCCCTGCCTGCTTAGGGACTGACCATTGCGCCTTCAATCTTGCAGGTCTTCGAATGGTGGGACGGCAACTGCAGTGGACACAGTCTGCAGCTACCAGCGAGATGTGATGGCGCCACAATTCGACCGAGTGAAGGTGTACCAGGAGCTGATAAATATGACCAATGGATTCACCAAGATGGGGCCCTACACTCTAGACAAGGACAGCCTCTACGTCAATGGTGCATTTTGAAGAAGAAGAATAATAATAATAATAATAATAATAATAATAATAATAATAATATGTTTATAGCCCGCCCATCTGGTTGGGTAGCTTCAGCCACTCTGGGAGGTTTTAAAAGATATAAAAACACAACGAAGCATCAAACATTAAAAACTCCACGATACAGGGCTGTCTTCAGGTGTCTTCTAGAAGTTCTATAGTTTTTTTATTTCCTTGACATCTGATGGGAGGGTGTTCCACAGGGAGGGCGCCACCACCAAGAAGGCCCTCTGCCTGGTTCCACATAACCTCACTTCTCACAATGAAGGAACCGCCAGAAGGCTCTCAGAGCTGGACCTCGGTGTCTGGGCTGAACGATGGGGGTGGAGACGCTCCTTCAGGTCTACAGGGCCGAGGCCATATAGGGCTTTCAAGGTCAGCGCCAACACTTTGAATTGTGCTCAGAAACGTACTGGGAGCCAAAGCAGGTCTTTCAGGACCGGTGTTATATGGTCTCTGTGGCCGCTCTCAATCACCAGTCTAGCTGCCACGTTCTGGATTAGCTGTAGTTTCCGGGTCACCTTCCAAAGTAGCCCCACGGAGAGCGCATTGCAGTAGTCTAAGCAGGAGATAACCAGAGCATGGACCACCCTAGCGAGACAGGGAGCAGGCAGGGAGGGTCTCAGATGGAGCCTTGGACACAGAATTGACCTGCGCTTCCATGGACAGCTGTGAGTCCAAAATGACTCCCAGGCTGCACACCTGGTCCTTTAGGGTCACAGTTACCCCATAGAGGACCAGGGAGTCCCCCACACCTGCCAAACCTCTTGTGTCCCATCCCCCCGAACAGTACTTCTGTCTTGTCAGTATTCAACCTCAATCCATTAGCTACCAACCACCTCCAGGCAGGTGACTCCAGGTGAAGAGTCTTCTGGGTCAGCAAAGAGAGAACACCTGGCTTCACACACAACAAACTTCCCCAGTCAGCTGGCTGCAAGACGGACCCTGAATACAGTTTTGGGGGGGTTTTAGATAGCATGGCCCCTAGTCCTCATGAAGGGCAGGAGTAGCAATTTTGTTTGTTAAGCTATAAGCCCTAGGCATAACAAAAGGCCATACCAGCTGAGCCCCCCATTTGGCAGCTGAGGCAAATGAACCCCCAGGAGTCCATAATTTTCTTCTTCCGACAGCAGGAAAGCACGCAGACTCATTTGATGCCAGATTTTTTCCCCTTGCGGCTTGATGGATATATTTCACGGGGATCTTTGAACAGAGGAGGCTGGGTAATGCAGTGAACAATGTCCCCTGTAACTGGTTTTTTGGAACACACAGAGGGTGATTTCTTACTGCACCATCCAGATCTAAAGGATATTAATATTAAGTATTAATTTTGTGGGGGAAACCACAATTCTACATGGAGGCACGAGCTCATCTGCAGTTAGTGACAAAGCAGCCTCTGCTTGGAAGCCTTTATTTTTTATTTTTTTAACACAGGGGGCTCTTGTTTCTTGAGCAGAAAACTTAGTTTCTTTACTGTCTTTCCTTTCCAGGTTACAGCGACCTGCGTAGCATTCCGCGTAAGTATTCCGAAGTGCCGCCATGCAAACGGAAAACTCTCCGATCGAAACGACTCCTGCCTTGAAATTCACATTGTTTCTCCTCCTTCCAGATCTCCCCGCCGCGATTCCTGCCAAGATGCCAACTCTGCGGAATTTCACGGTCAATTACACCTTGTCCAGCCTCCCCTACATGAATGACATGGGGACCCCTGGTTCTCGCAAATTCAACGCCACGGAGAAAGCCCTCAACTTCTACGTACGTTTCATATCCTCTGCTTGTGTGCACCACCTGCAGCACAATTAGCCCAGTCCTGGAGACTTCCTGGTTAGACTACTGCCCTCCATTAGATGTGGGGCTTGCCCTTGAAGACTTCCTCCGGTGCTAGAAACTCTGATATATAAGCTAGATGCCAAACCAAGGTTGTAGTTGCCAAAACGGAATGTCTAGTTGCCATTTTGGGGCAAGATGGCTCTAAAGTCCAATTGATGGACTGACTGTGATTGATTCTCAGCTAAACATCTGGCTAGTTCACCTTGAGCTAGTTTTAAAACTGCACACAAAAAAGCACTTTGGTTCCAGAATTTCATTCTGAGTTATCTATTTTTATCCTATTGTTATTTTAATTTCTTGAAAGTCTTAAGTTATGGCTGTTCCTTTTTTTATGTATATTTTTATTGCTTTACCCTTTTTTGTAATCAGCTTTGAGGCTGTTGTTTTGCTTTTGTGCAATTAAGCATTTTATTTTATAAAATAAATAAGTGGCATATGGGCCTGGGTTGCTAAAAGGGGCTCTTGCCACTGGGCCCCACTGTTAGTTGTGGGTCCTTGGAAAATGCCTCCCTGGGCCAACTCTTGATGCCTGTTCCCTCTTGAGAAACTTTTATTATCTCTCTTCCTATCTCTTGCGTGCATTTATTTATTTTGCAAAAATCTATATACCACTTGATCATAGGAAACCTCAAAGCGCTTTACAAAAAGAATAAAACAGTAAGAGTATTTGTCAGATAGCTGTTGCGGTTGCTCGAGAGTAACCAGGCAGGTCTCCAAAAGAATTAAAACATTCAGAAAAATAACAACAAACAAAACCAGCAACAACCTAAAATCACATCAGCACTCTAAATTTCTGAGTCTAATAAAAAAACATGCAGCAAAGAGCACAGGGAAGGTTCCTGCCCAATGTCAAGTGGCAGGGAGTTCCAAAGTTTAGGTTCCACCATGTGCTGAAAGATCAATTTCTAACAAGTGCAGAATCTTCTTCTTCTTCTTTGGCGATCGCTCATTTGGTGGCACCGTTAACAGTGCCCCCTCCGCAGATCATTCCACCTTTCTGGCAAAGCTTTCAGAGCGACTCATCTGCAGGTGACAGACCTCTGCCAATATTTTCCTTTCCTTTCCCCCTCCAGATGGAGCCTCTTCTCAAAAAGACACACGTTGGCCCGGCGTTTGCATATTGCAGAGTGGAGAGATTTTGGTAAGAGTCTGGGATGGGCAGCTAAGAGGGTGCGCAACAGCTGGGCTTTCCAATTCCAGCTCATTCCCCTGTCAGGCCTCCCGAGGTAGACTGCTGTTGAATGTGGATGTTCCATATACCCATTTTGAGCCCCAACACACACACCCTCCCATTGATAGTGTCTGGAAACCAAGCCTTATGAGGAACGGTTGAAGGAGCTGGGTAGGTTTAGCCTGGAAAAGAGGAAACTGACTGCCATCTTCAAATATCTGAAGGGCTGTTGCAGAGAAAATGGAGCAAGCTTGTTTTCTGCTGCTCTGGAGCAAAGGACCCCCTTTCATTGCAGGGGTTGGGCTAGATGACCCCTGAAGGACCCCCTCTGATTTATACGATTCTATAATGCGCATTTGCCTCTCCTTAGGGCTCCACAAACCAGGCATGCTGCGGCGGTGGACACTGTCTGCAGCTACTGGGAAGACCTTCTCCCTGTCCCCTTTGACCACGTGAGGCTTCACCGGGAGATCAGCAACCTGACGAGGGACGGCACGAGGCTCGGCCACTACAGCCTGGAGAAGGACAGCCTGTCTGTGAATGGTAAGCCAGTTGGGGGCTAGAGGCTGGATGGGAAAAACTCAAGACCCATGGAAATCAACAGGCTTAATCCATTCATCATGGTGCCCATTCATCTCAATGGGTTTGCTCCTTTCCCACCCTGAGGGCCTGAGTTACCTTCCAAGGGCCGCATGTGGATGGGCGGGGCCAGGCGCAAAAGTGGGCGGGGCAGTGGGTGATAAATGAGATTCCTTTAGTTGAGATTCCTGCATTGTAGCAGGTTGCACTAGATGACCCCCCAGGGGTCCCTTCCAACTCTAAATGGAGAAATCTGAGGGCTCCCTTGGACAAAAAACAAGGACACCAGCCAGGAATACCAGAGCAAAACAGCAGCCAGTAGTCTTGGTCTTTATTGAAGACTGTCGCCACAGGACTCCCACCTGCCACCAGGTGGAACAAGATGGAAGCCCAGAACAAAAGAGCTTTTATTAACTTTTATTAGCTGCTAATCCCCATGTTACACCCCCCCAACTACATCACTAATACATCATGGTTGCATCATGAAAGGGGAGGTCTGGTGGCAGGAATCTGAGCATCCTGGACCCTGCCCCATGGTTCCCCTTGTCTTCCACCAAACACCCATCAAGTGGAACAAAAGAGATATTTACATTTCCCTCTTTCCCAGCCAAGTTAATCCCACCCTTTTGTCTTCATCTGGGTTTGTTATTTCTGGAATGGCTACCTGTCTGGCACTCAGGTATCAGGATGCCAGGGATCATCACTCAGGCAGAGGGGCTGCTGAGGAGCTGAGCTCACAGGTCTATATGAATTTCTGAAGTTTTCCCAGTGAGCCAGTACAGAGATACATTTATCAGTGAATTCTTACATTTGGTATCGTGCAGCAGAGGCCCTTTGAATAGATAGGAAGAAACCGTGATGAAGTGTTTTGTGGAGAGAAATCACAAAAGTCACAAAAGTGATTGTGCTGATTTTGGTAGTGGGCTGCATGTGCATGATATCTGCTGGGGGGGCAACACCCCCCCAACCTATACATAAATTCCTGCAACACTACGATTCTATAAAATGTAAGCTTTGTAGAGAATCATAGAATCATAGAATCATAGAGTTGGAAGAGACCACAAGGGCCATCGAGTCCAACCCCCTGCCAAGCAGGAAACACCATCAGAGCACTCCTGACATATGGTTGTCAAGCCTCTGCTTAAAGACCTCCAAAGGAGGAGACTCCACCACAAGACTCCTTGGCAGCAAATCCCACTGTCGAACAGCTCTTACTGTCAGGAAGTTCTTCCTAATGTTTAGGTGGAATCTTCTTTCTTGTAGTTTGGATCCATTGCTCCGTGTCCGCTTCTCTGGAGCAGCAGAAAACAGCCTTTCTCCCTCCTCTATGTGACATCCTTTTATATATTTGAACATGGCTATCATATCACCCCTTAACCTCCTCTTCTCCAGGCTAAACATGCCCAGCTCCCTTAGCCGTTCCTCATAAGGCATCGTTTCCAGGCCTTTGACCATTTTGGTTGCCCTCCTCTGGACACGTTCCAGTTGGTCAGTGTCCTTCTTGAACTGTGGTGCCCAGAACTGGACACAGTACTCCAGGTGAGGTCTGACCAGAGCAGAATACAGTGGCACTATTACTTCCCTTGATCTAGATGCTATACTCCTATTGATGCCGCCCAGAATTGCATTGGCTTTTTTAGCTGCCGTGTCACACTGTTGGCTCATGTCAAGTTTGTGGTCAACCAAGACTCCTAGATCCTTTTCACATGTACTGCTCTCAAGCCAGGTGTCACCCATCTTGTATTTGTGCCTCTCATTTTTTTTGCCCAAGTGCAATACTTTACATTTCTCCCTGTTAAAATTCATCTTGTTTGTTTTGGCCCAGTTCTCTAATCTGTCAAGGTCGTTTTGAAGTGTGATCCTGTCCTCTGGGGTGTTAGCCACCCCTCCCAGTTTGGTGTCATCTGCAAAGAGAATAGGCTACTTTCTACACACACACACACACACACACACACACACACACAGCCTTCATACAGGCAAGCATGAGGCTGGATCTGAGTTCGAAACACTCAAGGAGGGTGTGGAACAGGGAGGGCTTAATTTTTTTAAAAAAAAAGATTCTCAGTTTTATACATTTCAATAATTTCACAATCATTTTAACATTTCAAAACTCAACTTCCTTCCCTCTCTTTCTGCGGTTCCTTAATTATTATTTTTTAAATATTTTGCATATTCCAAATTAACTTAATTTACCCGTTTATTCATTATACAGTATTTATTTATAATCCTGCCAATGTTCTTATCTGTTTACAATTTATTTGTGAATATTCAAAAAAACTGTTTCCATTGGGGAGGGCCTAATTCAGTCCCACTCCGAGGGCGACTACATTCACACCATGCCTTTAAAGGGAGGTCCTGAGAGAAACCGGGACGCCTTCCATAAATCCAGGACTGCTGCTGTAAAATAAGGACACCTGGAGGTCCTTCCATTGCCTACACACCTGTTCAGCACCTGCTCCTTCAATCTCCTTGCAGGATACCTGCCAGTCGTCAGAGGAGGGGAGGAAGGAGTTGGCTATGAGCTCGGCTTCACGGTCGTCAACCAGAACTTGACCCACACGGACCCGTCGTCTCCAGAATACCAGCGCGTGAAGTCTGCCATCGCCTACGAGGTCAGGATTTGTGCGCTGGGACTCACCAGACCCTAGAGGGCATAAGTGCCTTGAGGGAAGGGTCTCACGCACCTCCTTCAGTGTACTTGTTTTCTATGTGTTATATTTATATTGAAATAATTTCAATAGTAAAGAAATGAAGTGATAGAATGTGGGGGGGAAGGGGAGAAGTGTGGGGGGGGGACCAAAGTTGTGTATAAGAAAGCTACACACACACACACACACACATATAAATATATATATATATATACATATGCAGTGTAATAGACTTCCGTGCATTGCAATCTAAATTGCTATATTGTTATTATCCATGTTAAATTTTTAATTGACCATCCTTGCACCTTTCTTCTGCTGTTCTGGAGTTTAAGGATGACAAAGCGTGTTTTGTCTAATCCCTTTGTACAGCTGTCCCTAAGAACAGCAGCTGGATCAGACCCAAATTCTGAAACCCTCACGGCGGTCTGTTCAGATAAAATGCAGCACTGAGATCGTTTCCCATTCCTATTTTTATTTTACCATACGTACGTATGGCAACCCATGTCGAATTCCCTTAAGAATAGCTCAACAACAACAACAACAATCTCAACATCTTTGCCAAAAAAGGCCCAACTTTTGTGTCTGGATTCTCACTTTTTGAAATATGGCAACCCTATACAAGTGCCTTCCATTATTTGTAGAGGAGGCCCATAGCGCAGTTGTAGGGCGTCTGCTTTCTATGGGGAACGTCCCAGATTCCACCCCACAGCATCTCCAGGTGGTGAGGCTGTGTGGTTTTTCTCACACTTTGCAAGGCACAGGTGATTTAACACGAGAGGCAGTGTGATGCAGTGGTTAGAGTGTCAGGTTAGGACCTCAGGGCCCAGGGTTCAAATTCACACCAATCCATGGGTCACTGGGTGCCCTTGTGGGCCAGTCGCTCACTCCCAGCCCAACCCACCTGGTAGGGTTGTTGTGAGGGTTAAGCGAGGTGGAGGGAAACCGTATTAGCCACCTCCTCAAAGGATGCAAATGCAATAAAGCTAAAAATAAAAAAACAATCCCAGCAGTTCCTGATTTCAGTTTGTTCCACCCATTCCAGTTAAATCAACTCTTCCTCCGGAGTGCCATCCGAAACGGATTCAACATTTGCAAAGTAACTGGACTGAGGTCAGTACTGATAGGAAGGAAAGTGTAAGCAGATGTCCAGGCTCTGAGACATCTACCTGAATCTTTGGACTTCTTTATGTTGAGGGGCTCCAACTCCCATCATCCCTTGCCTGTTGAGGGGCTCCAACTCCCATCATCCCTTGCCTGTTGAGGGGCTCCAACTCCCATCATCCCTTGCATGTTGAGGGGCTCCAACTCCCATCATCCCTTGCATGTTGAGGGGCTCCAACTCCCATCATCCCTTGCATGTTGAGGGGCTCCAACTCCCATCATCCCTTGCATGTTGAGGGGCTCCAACTCCCATCATCCCTTGCATGTTGAGGGGCTCCAACTCCCATCATCCCTTGCATGTTGATGGGCTCCAACTCCCATCATCCCTTGCATGTTGAGGGGCTCCAACGCACCTCATCCCTTGCATGTTGAGGGGCTCCAACTCCCATCATCCCTTGCATGTTGAGGGACTCCAACTCCCATCATCCCTTGCATGTTGAGGGGCTCCAACTCCCATCATCCCTTGCATGTTGAGAGGCTCCAACTCCCATCATCCCTTGCATGTTGAGGGACTCCAGCCCTCATCATCCTTTGCATGTTGGCCTAATGGGAGATGGGAGTCACAGATAAGAACATCAGGAGAACCTTGTGGGATCAGGCTGGTTTTTTGAATTAACTATGTTGTTCAGAGGGATTGCCTGCCTCTTGGGGTTGGGTTTGTTTTTGTCTGGGATGTCCTCTTGCCCCTGACTCTTCCTCTGCCCATTGCAATTCTCAGGCACGGCTCCATCGTGGTCGACTGCAAGTGCTACTTTGACCCGGCGACGAACACCAGCCAAGAGCTCGTCCGAGAGACCTTTCAGCAGGAGACGAGGAACGCCACGTCCCTGTGGCTGGGAAGGCAGTTCCAGCTCAAGGGTGTGACTGTGCGAGGTACATAAACACCCTTCAGCATAAATCAGGAAAGGTTGTGAATAGTAAAACATATGTGGTTCTGTTGGGTCCACTACAGTGGTACCTCTGGTTACGTACTTAATTCGTTCCGGAGGTCCGTTCTTAACCTGAAACTGTTCTTAAGCACCACTTTAGCTAATGGAGCCTCCTGCTGCTGCCGCGCCGCCAGAGCACAATTTCTGTTCTCATCCTGAAGCAAAGTTCTTAACCTGAAGCACTATTTCTGGGTTGGCAGAGTCTGTAACCTGAAGCGCATGTAACCCGAGGTACCACTGTATTTGGACCAGGACAGCCTTTGGCTCAGTTGATCAATGAAAGCCAACAGACTCAGGATATCCAGGAAAAATACTCTTTTTAATCAGCTGAGTAAAACAGAGGGCAACACTTTCAGTACAGAGAAAGAAACTGCTGCAAGGGGAAAAGCTTTTCCCTTGCTTTTTAAAGCAGGGGTCAGCAAACTTTTTCAGCAGGGGGCCAGTCCACTGTCCCTCAGACCTTGTGGGGGGCTGGACTATATTTGGGGAGGGAAATGAACGAATTCCTATGCCCCACAAATAACCCAGAGATGCATTTTAAATAAAAGCACACATTCTACTCATGTAAAAATACACTGGACTGTCCGTGGGCCAGATTTAGAAGGCAATTGGGCCGGATCCAGCCCCTGGGCCTTAGTTTGCCTACCACTGCATTAAAGCTTCTCCATCCCCCACTCTCCCCCTCCTTCCAATATATGTGCAAACTGTTGTTAGAGTTTTGATTTTGTTTGTTAGTAGGTCATGTCAAGCGCAAGATAAATAGGTACCGCTCTGGCGGAATGGTAAACGGCGTTTCTGTGCGCTGCTCTGGTTCGCCAGAAGCGGCTTAGTCCTGCTGGCCACATGACCCGGAAGCTGTACGCCGGCTCCCTCGGCCAATAAAGCGAGATGAGCGCCGCAACCCCAGAGTCGGCCACGACTGGACCTAATGGTCAGGGGTCCCTTTTCCCTTTACCTTTTGGTCATGCAAACCACTCTTTTAAATAATATCAGCTGGGAGCACTGGGAACCAAGGGGACGGTGCCCGAAGCGGTATTTTTTTGAATTTTTAGGATCTTCCCTTCCTCCCCAGCTCCCGAATCGGCCATTGAGTCTGCCACTGCTGCCCTGCCGCCCCAGCTCCAGATGAAGAACTTTGCGGTCAACTTCACCGTCACCAACTTGCCATACGCAGGGGAAATGGCAGATCCCGACTCGGATGTCTACTGGAAGACCAAAATGAGTCTTGAGAGCGAGGTAAATGGCTCAGGAGAGAGGCTAAGCAGAGGCCAGGCCTCACTCCTGACTTTGACTGCGGCCCTCCAGAGCACTCTGCCAGGCCCCCAGGACTCCCTTCAGGCTTGGCCCTGACCAGCCTTCTTTCTCTCCCTCCTCATGTGTTTTGGTCTGGCTGGAAATATGTATATGTACTGTTATTTCTCAAACTTCTATATCCTGCCTTTCCTCCCCAAAGTTCCCAAGTGTGAAGTTTAAGAAACAAAGCGAAAGCATTCTAAGAGCCGATCCAAATATTTTAAAAGAGTTAGAACTAAAATCATCTCAAATCATGTTTTGTTTTATACTCTTTGTTGGAAAATGCAGAGTACAAAATTAAAACTGCACAGGGTAATTATAAGACACAAGAAGTAACACCTATGTGGGAAATGAAACAGAAAAAAGATATTGTGCACATTAACAAAAAAGAGGAAATTGTTATTGCAGTTAACCATGCCTTAATTGGGATGTGGGTGGCGCTGTGGTTTAAACCACTTAGCCTTGGGCTTGCCGATCAGAAGGTCGGCAGTTCGAATCCCCGTGACGGGGTGAGCTCCCTTTGCTCGGTCCCTGCTCCTGCCAACCTAGCAATTCGAAAGCACGTCAAAGTGCAAGTAGATAAATAGGTACCGCTCCGGCGGGAAGGTAAATGGCGTTTCTGTGCGCTGCTCTGGTTCGCCAGAAGCGGCTTAGTCCTGCTGGCCACATGACCCGGAAGCTGTACACTGGCTCCCTCGGCCAATAAAGCGAGATGAGCACCGCAACCCCAGAGTCGGCCATGACTGGACTTAACGGTCAGGGGTCCCTTTACCTTATACCTTAATCAAAAATGGTATTTATAAAAATGAATTCCAAATATCATTAAGTTTGTCCATGGACAAATCTTTAAATCATCTCAAATCATGCATTTATTTCGTTTATATATCTCCTGTTTCTCTGAGGTGCTCAGTGTAGCTTATGTGAGGTTGGTGGGCCTGAAAGGTCACTCGGTGAGCTCCACAGTTGAGTGGGGATTCGAACCCTGGTGTCCCCCGGGCCGAGAGGGCAGCCAGCCTCCATGAGGAGCGGCTACCACAGGGGCACAGCGAGCAAAGTCTACCCGTTGCCTCCTTCAGGATGCCCACAGTGAGGTTAGGGGGCTCAGTCCTTGCCTTGCCCTAGTTGCTGGCAATGCACGTTATGCCACCCGACTAAAAGGGTTCTTGTTCTGCTATGTGAACTAAGTTAAATACTTTCAAATAAAGTGGCTATTATTTCCAGAGACTATTTAATTGCTGAAGGGTGAAGGGTTGGTTTTCTGCGGGGTGAGGGGCACCTGCTATGTGTGTGTGCGCACCTTAAAACCCGTGTAACAATGGCACAGGCCATGCCAACGTGATATGACTCAAAGAGGGACCTGAATTACACCTCTCTCTGTCTACGTTCACCCTATGCTTCCAGAGAAAGCTGCAGAGATAGCGCAGGACAGTGCGCACCCCGGAAATGATCTCTTTCAGCTTCTGCCTTCTGGAAGAAGGTACAGGGTTATAAAGACTAGGACTAGCCGCCTGAGAAACAGTTTTTATCCAAATGCGATTTTGATTTTAAACGCAGTGTAAGGTAGTCTCTGTGGGAGTATATTGTATGGGGAGTACATTTAATTATGGGGTATCAGAGTTGTTAGGGGGCTAACCAGGCTGGGATAGCAGGCTTGCTGGTTTTTGAATGTCTAATGTACATTTTTCAATTTCGTTGATCTGTATGGGACAATGACAATAAAGATTATCGTATTGTATCGTATCGATCCTGTTCTCCCCTTCTTCCTCCAAACAGCTCCACCAGTTATACCAGCGCAGCAGCCTGCAGAGGGAGTTTGTGCAGTGCTCTGTCGAGAGCTTCAGGTGTGTGTTTGTGTGGTTCGAAGGCAGTCTAAGTGAGGGTCAGTAATCTCCACTGCCATTGGGAGTCTCCAACATCCCTGCTTAAGTCATGGCGGTTGACCAACATTTGGCTATGATTTAATTTTTGCATAGACCGACCGGCCAGCAGACCGAGACGGGGGTCGACGCCGCCTGCGCGTTCGCGATGGATTCTTCCACAAGGACGTTCGACCGAGCTCTGGTGTACGATGTGTTTAGGAACTGGACGGGCAATGCCACAGCGTTGGGGATGTACACACTGGACAACGGAAGTCTGCTGGTCAGCGGTAAGAATGCAGTGGGTGCCAGAGATCCTGGACAATGGCAGAAGCTTCCAGGGGAAAGTCAGAAGGGCCTGCAGGATTAGGCCAATGGGTCATCTAGGCTAGCGTCCTCGTCTCGCTGTGGCTCAAGAGCCCCTCTCCCCTGCCATGGCTTCCAGCGACTGGAAGCCAGAAGCATAATTGCCTCCAAGGTGGGATGTATGGGGTGTTAAAGGCGCTGGGGTGTATGTGTTACCTCTGGTGGGGGACATACCATGCTCCTTTTGCGGTCATTTGCCCACCTTTGGTCCCTACCTGCACCCAAACTCCCACCTGTGGCTCCTAGAAGCTGTCAGCAGGCAACAGCAGCCACAGCCCAGGAAGGGCTTCAACTGGCCGGCTAAACCAGGCGAGGGGAGCTGATGGGACCCAATCCCTCGGGGAGTTAGGGACTTTCCCTGCATGCAAAAACAGGCTCCAGCAGATGGAGTGGATGAGACCAAGCGTGGATCCAACGGTCAAGGAGCTGGTCTCTGCACGTGCTATAGAAGGAAGTGAGGGGCAGATGGAACTCACCTCTAGGAGAAGGAAAACTCTAGTTCTATACCTCTGCTGCCTTGAGGGACATCTTTGGGAGATGAAAAGGCTAAGGAGGAAAGCCTACACAAATCTGGAGTGGAGTCCTTAAGACGGTTGGTTGGCTCCTTCCAGCAACTCCTTCATCCAAGCAGGTGCCAAACGTCTTGCTCTGCCTTCTTCGGACCCCATCAGTGAGGCCCAGAGGGGAGTCTTGTCCTCTGGGCAGCCCAGGACCTCCAGACACAACACCCAGGGTCCAAAATGACTCCCAGGCTGTGCACCTGGTCCTTCAGGGGCACAGTTACCCCATTCAGGACCAGGGAGTCCCCCACACCTGCCCGCCCCCTGTCCCCCAGAAACAATGCATTAGATGGGGCCCTTTGGGCTCGATTCTGCTCCTAGGTTCATTTCACGCTGTTATGTTTATGCTCTATTTACAGGTTATCCTTCAACAGTGACCCCAGTGCACCACCAAAGAGGTTAGTGATGTTTCTTTGGTTCAGCGTTGATTCAAGGTTGGAGGGGTCCTGGTTTCTGGTGGGTGGGTCTCCTCTTTCAATTCTTCCACTGGCCATCGGATTTACTCAAACGCCCCAGCCTCAGAAGCTGCCCATTTTAATTCTCCACAATGCCATGGGTCAAAGCCGGCCAACATTTAATACTTTTTTTTTTTTTGTCTTTCAGGGTTACCTTTCTGGGCCATCATCCTGATATGTCTGTCTGCTCTCCTGGGCTTCCTCCTCCTCTTCCTCATCTGCTTCCTGGTATGTTCATCCTCTTTATTCAAGACAGAGGGGAAAGGATGTTCTTTCCTCTTTTTTATCATTCTTTATTTTAAGAATGTCCTGCCAACCTAGCAGTTCGAAAGCACGTCAAAGTGAAAGTAGATAAATAGGTACCGCTCCAGCGGGAAGGTAAACAGCGTTTCCGTGCGCTGCTCTGGTTGGCCAGAAGCGGCTTAGTCCTGCTGGCCACATGACCCGGAAGCAGTACGCCGGCTCCCTTGGCCAATAAAGCACACCTTCCAGCTTGTCAACATCCTTTTTAAATTGTGGTCACCGTATTCCAGGTGTGGTCTGCCCAAGGCAGAACAGAGTGGGACTATGTCTTCCCTTGATCTGGACGCTAGACTTCCGTGAATAATAATAATAATAATAAAATTTATTTATACCCCGCCCTCCCCGGCCAGAGCCGGATTCAGGGCGGCTAACACCAGTAAAATTACAGTAAAAATATAATGGGGGGGGGAACAAACCAATTTAAAGCACAGGTTAAAATGCAATTTAAAATGCAGCCTCATTTTAAAAGTAGCCCATAGATCAAGACCATAAGGGGAGGGAAACATAAGGGTCAGACTGAGTCCAAACCAAAGGCCAGGTGGAACAGCTCTGTCTTGCAGGCCCTGCGGAAAGATGTCAAGTCCCACAGGGCCCTGGTCTCTTGGGACAGAGCGTTCCACCAGATCGGGGCCAGTACTGAAAAGGCCCTGGCCCTAGTTGAGACCAGTCTAACCACCTTGCGACCTGGGACCTCCAGAGTGTTGTCATCTGTGGACCTTAAGGTCCTCCATGGGGCATTCCAGGAGAGGCGGTCCCGTATGCAGCCTAGAATAGCATTTGCTTCTTTTGCTGCTGCATCACACGGTTGGCTCATGTTCAGCTGGTGGTCCATCTGCTGATGCAGGAATGGGAGCATTGTCCGCACATAGACTTGTATGACAAGTCTTCTTTTTCTCTCTCCTCTGTTCTTTCTGCACCAACCAGGTTGCCTTCTGTCTGCGGAAGAAAGCCGGGAAGTATCAGGTGCAACAGGACATCCTTGGACTCTACTTCCCGCACTTGGATATGAGGAAAGCGCGATGATGTGCAGACCCTTTTGCGGCCTTGACTCTCTGCGCCCCACGAGGTGGGAGTGGGGGGGGCCTCCTTTCGCACACTGCTCCCACCGTCCACAGCAAACAACTGTTTTGGCACAGCTGGAACAGACGTCTAGATTAAGAAGTGAATCACAACCAATCAACGCTAGCTTGTCTTGGACCAGAGAGAGAGAGAGAGGGTTCCTGCATTGCGCGGGGTTGGACTAGATGACCCTCGTGGTCCCTTCCAGCCCTATGATTCTGTGACTATTGAGCATGCTCTATGAGATATTTTGGACATTGACCTCGGCGACCCTGAAGACTGCCGGATTCAGAACTGAGTGGGGAAGCTCCGTTCCAATTTATTTATTAATGCACGGTGGACTTTGGAATGTAATTTTAATATATATATATATATGTAGCCACAGATTATTTAACTATTTGTAGATGGATTCTGCCTGGGATGCAGATCAGTGTCAAGTCTTTCTCCCCCTGCCCCACGTTCTCTGAAATGTCCAGAGATGCGTCGAAGGAAGTTCAGACTGTATTGCACTTTAGATTCCCTTAGAATTTTACTTTTCATTCATTCAGCCTTTATTGGCATACCTTAGACAGTAGAATCGTTTTTTAAAAAACCATCCATAAAACATTCGTAATATTAAACTCATAAAACATAAAAAAGACTCAGTAGCCACCATTAAATAAATTAAGCAGTTTTAAAATTGATTTTAAAAATGTCAACTAAATATCCCAAAACAATCTCGGTATTTTCGGGACTATCATCCCTCAGCAGATATTGTATCTGCTTGCAAAAAAGAGTTCTGTTTAGCTCAGGGACTAGGAGATCTCGTTCAGCTCAGGGCCCGGCCCCCTCTTGGGGGATCTTCCGAAGGCCACATACCGTTGAAGGGCGGAGCCGGGAGCAAACAGTAGGCGGGCCTATGCTAATTACCTATGTGTGGTAGGCTATATGCCGCTGGAACGAAGACCAGAGGTTTCTGTGTCCGGCCACTCCTCTTTCCGTCCTCTGTCCAGGCCAATAGGAGGCATTATCAAAGACACATTTCCATCCAGGCTAAAGCACTTATGGAAGGTGGGCTGGAAGATTGGTGAAGGATATGGCCTGACAAGAAAGCTGTGACCCCAGAAAGAGTCCTAAGGGTGGGGGACACACAAGCCGGAGGTCTCTTGCCCCGTTTTACCTAAAACAAAATAGTAATATTTAGTGATTGTCGGCAGGGATGGTTTTTCTATTTAAAGAAGGGATGTTCTTTTTGGAGAGGTGATGAAGTCTGCTACACTGGAAGGATAATTCCACACCCCCAAAAAAACAACAACAACTGGGGCTGTGGTTTAGGAGAGAACCAGATTCCAAAATAATATATATATGTATGTCGGCGATTGATATGATGATTGTTCTTTGTTTTCTAAGATATCTCAATATTTAAAAACGTTCTCGATTTCTTACAAGCCAATCAATAAACAGCAAGCTGAAAAACGAACTTCAGATGGGGTGTGTATATATGTATAAGCATATCTGTAATCTAAAGCCGACCTACTAGCAAATGAAACCCGGCGGTAATCATACATCCATTATGCCACAATGCAGCTGATGACATGAGAGTCGGGTCCTAATAGCATACATTTATTTGCCTTAAGGGTACTGGAATGGCAGAAGAGGAAGATCTGGTTTCTGAGTTAAGACTCCTTGATCTTTAAATCCCCAAATGACTGCCATATAAAAGAGGCAAAAGTCCTCAATTTATATGATTGTTGTCTTAGGAGGGCAAACCCTCTCTTTTTATGATTATTAAATTGAGGGCAGGGTGTGGGGGTGTTAGAGGAGGGGTAGCCCCAGCCCTGAGTGCTCACTGGAAGGACAGATCCTGAAGCTGAGGCTCCAAGACTTTGGCCACCTCATGAGAAGAGAAGACTCCCTGGAAAAGACCCTGATGCTGGGAAAGATGGAGGGCGCAAGGAGAAGGGGACGACAGAGGACAAGAGTCTGACCAAACTGCAGGAGGCAGTGGAAGACAGGAGTGCCTGGCCTGCTCTGGTCCAGGGGGTCACAAAGAGTCAGAAACTACTAAACAACTAGACAACAACAAAGCTCCTCTTGTGGGTGTCATGTTGGGTTCCTTCTGGGGTTGTTTGCTGACCTGCACTCTGCTCTCACCTGCGGCTCCTAGAAGCTGCCAGCAGGTGACAGCGGCCACAATCCTGTGAACGGTTTCAACTGGCCGGCAAAGCCAGGTGAGGGGAGCTGATGGGTCTCAAACCCACAATGAGTTAGGGGCTTCCCCTGCATGCAAAGACAGGCCCCCAGGGATGGAGTGGATGTGACCAAGAGGGGGTCCAATGGTCAAGAAGGTGGTTTCTGGCCATGCTGTAGAGCAGGGGTCAACAAACTTTCTCAGCAGGGGGTCGGTCCACCCCCCCCCCTCAGGCCAGACTATATTTTTTTGGGGGGGTGAACGAATTCCTATGCCCCACAAATAACCCAGAGATGCATTTTAAATAAAAGGACACATTCTACTCATGTAAAAACATGCTGATTCCTGGACCGTCCGTGGGCCGGATTTAGAAGGCAATTAGGCTGGATCCGGCCCCCGGGCCTTGGTTTGCCTACCCGTGCTGTAGAGAGAAATGAGGGGCAGATGGGGCTCATCCATGGAAGGAAAACTCTGGCCCTAAACCTCCACTGCCTTGCAGGATATCTTCAGGAGGAAAAAAGGCTCAGGAGTGAACCCTACACAAATCCACTCTGGGGAGTCCCTAAGGCAGTTGGATGGCGACTTGTACACCTCCTTTCGGCAACAGGTGCCAAACGTCTTGCTCTGATTTTCTTTGGACTGCATCAGCCCAGGAGCTCCAGACACACTGACTACTAGGCTTGCGCCGCAGAGAAGTCACTTTGGTGCCGCTCAACACCAGCTGAACATGAGCTCACAGTGTGATGCAGCAGCAGAAAAAGCGAAAGCTATTCTAGGCTGCATCAACAGAAGTCTAGTGTCCGGGTCAAGGGAAGGAATAGCCCCACTCTATTCTGCCTTAGTCAGACCACACCTGGAGTCCTGTGTCCAGTTCTGGGTGCCACAATTTAAGAAGGATGTTGACAAGCTGGAAGAGGGTTACCAAGGTGATCAATGGTCCGGAAACCAAGCCTGATGAGGAACGGCTGAAGGAGCTGGATATGTTTAGCCTGGGAAAGAGGAGGCTGAGAGGAGGTAGGAGAGCCATCTTCAAATATCTCAAGGGCTGCCACATGGAGGAGGCAGGAGCTTGTTTTCTCCTGCTCCGGAGGGTAGGACTCGAACCCATGGCTTCAAGTTTCAAGAAAGTAGATTCCGACTAAAACATCAGGAAGAACTTTCTGACATGAACAGGTGTTAAACAGTGGAACTTTCTTCCTTGTGAAGCAGTAGTCTCTCCTTCCTTGGAGGTTTTTAAGCAGAGGTTGGGTGGCCATCTGTCCTGGATGCTTGAGCTGAGATTCCTGCATTTCAGGGGGTTGGACTAGATGACCCTCAGGATCCCTTCCAACTATACAATTCTATCATTGTATGCTGTTGAATCCCAGCTGCTGCAAGGTGCAGGAGGGGAGTGCGACTCTTGTGATCAAATCTTGCTTGTGGGTTGGCTGCCGAAAGGGATGCTGAACTTCATGAGCCTCTATCCTGATCCGTTCTTACGTTTTTTCTGCCTCTCAGAATGCAAATACCGTTCATTCTTCCGCCCTCCCAGTCACCTCTCCTGTCCTCGGGGAGGGCGGCTATGTTGAGAAAGGGTGTCTTTCTGCGCTTTTGATCCTTACGTATTCTACGAAAGAGGGAGCAGAGTAAATGGAGCGTGGCTCAACTGAAAGTGAATTTTTCGTGAATGGATGCCCTGGGATGCCGTGCAAGAGATCCAGGGCAAATTGGGAGGGACTAGAAGTATGAGCAAAAATAAAATAAATGGTGTGTCACGCAGGAGTGGTGAATCCGTTCCAGATCATAAGTTCTCCTTAAGTTGACTATTATTGTTTCTATCTTAATTACTATCTGTCAGAGCTGCTTCCAGATCCTAGCTCACAGAGGATCACGCTAGCCAGCGATCACTTGTAAAAGTCTTTTATTGAGTTACAGTTTCCATTCTCAAGCTGCTGCGCGCAACTCTACGTCTTAAGGGTTAGACCGGCGAAGCTCCGTCTGAGTCTCCGCCCCCTGTACACCAACTTAATATCCTAGCCCTGTCCCACCTTTTCCGCCTGACTGTTCTTCTCTGGGTCCCTCTGCCCCCCGGGGTCTCTTCCTTCCGGGATTCTTCTGACGCTGACCCCCCGGACCCTTCTGTCTCCTTGCGCCGGGCTTTAGGACCTGGCTCCCTTTCCGGGCTGCTCACTGCGCCACCTTCCTGTGCATTTGAACTTGGCGCGCGCGCCCAACCTTCCACTTTCCGTCTGACCGTTTCTTCGCTCCCCGATGGAGGTGTGGCCACTCCTGACTCGTGCCCTCCCTCCTGTTGTGAGCTGCCAGCGCTTGATCCCTGGCGCCCTTCCTCTTCCCTGCTCTCTGGCGGTGACGCTGGTCCCGATTTCCCGCTGCTCTCCTCTGAGTCCCCTCTGGCTCTATCTTCCTGGGGTCTCCCCCTAGTCTCCCCCCTTGCCCTGGCCACTGGTGCTCCTTTCTGTGAATCTTCTGATTCACTGGAAAGACTCGGAGATCTCGGGTCGTCGTCATCACTCATCTTCTCTTCTGCCTCCTCCCCCTCACTCTCTGTTTCCTCCCTTGCCCTTGCCTCTGCTCCTGAACCCCTGACACTATCACTCTGACAACATGATATATAGATCAGCCTTGCCCAACCAGCTCCCCTCCAGATAATAATAAATAATAATAAATTTTATTTATACCCCGCCCTCCCCGGCCAGAGCCGGGATCAGGGCGGCTAACACCAGTAAAATTACAGCAAAAACATAATGGGGGGGGGATCAATTTAAAGCACAGGTGAAAATGCAATTTAAAATACAGCCTAATTTTAAAAGTAGCCCATAGATCAAGACCATAAAGGGAGGGAAAAATAAGGGTCAGACTGAGTCCAGCCCAAAGGCCAGGCGGAACAGCTCTGTCTTGCAGGCCCTGCGGAAAGATGTCAAGTCCCGCAGGGCCCTGGTCTCTTGGAACAGAGCGTTCCACCAAGTCGGGGCCAGTGCTGAAAAGGCCCTGGCCCTAGTTGAGACCAGTCTAATCACCTTGTGACTTGGGACCTCCAGAGTGTTGTCATTTGTGGACCTTGAGGTCCTTCGCGGGGCATACCAGGAGAAACTGATGGACTCCAACTCCCATCATCCCTCTGAGCTGCTGGGAGTTGGAATCTGACCACATCAGAGGGTCATCAATGTTCCCTGTCCCTGCTGTAGGAACTGTGGACTCGCAGAGTTGCAGAATTGAAAGGGACCCCTAAAGGTCATCCAATCCAACCCCTTGCAATGTAGGAAACTCAACCCCTGCTTAAAAACCTTCAAGGAAGGAGGGTCCATCACCGCTCTTGGGAGTCTGTTCTACTGTTGAACGGCTTTAACTGGCAGAATGTTCTTCCTGAAGTTTAGTCGGAATCTCCTTTCTTGTAACTTGAAGCCATGGGTTCGAGTCCTGCCCTCCAGAGCAGGAAAAAGCAAGCTTCCCCCTCTTCCATGTGACAGACCTTGAGATATCTGAAGATGGCTCTCCTATCTCCTCTCAGTCTCCTCTTTTCCAGGCTAAACATACCCAGCATCCTCTCCAACGTTCCTACAGCAAAAATAGGGCATACAGACGTTCACCAATCACTGAATCACAGAATTGTTGAGATGGAAGGGGACCCCTCTAGGTCATCTAGCCCAACCCCCCGGCAATGCTGGACTGACAGCTGAATCATTCCTGACAAACAGCCACCCAACCTCTGTTTAAAAACCTGCAATGAAGGAGTCCACCATCATTTTCCTGACACTATAGATGCATCTAAGCCATATCATGTCCTGGATAGCTCAGTTGGTTGGACCATGGTGCTCATAACGCCAAGGTTGCAGGTTCGATCCCCGTATGGGAATTGTAGTCCCAAAACAACTGGAGACCCAACTTTGGGAAACCCTGATCTAGATTAACAGCTTTTCATTTTGGTGGGATTGTGATTAATTGATTCACTCCCGCCACCTGCTGGCAAAATTAAGACATTGTTGCCTTAACTATGTTCAACGCGTTAGGACTAGAGGAAACTGCCTTGGACCCTCTGAGGCTAATGGTCTGTCTAGTTTAGTATTGTCTACACTGACTGGCAGCGTCTCTCAGGTTTCCCAGCCTTACCCAGGTGCAGATGGATTGTTGTGGCAATGAAAAAATGGGTATAAAAAAGTCAAATTCCTGGATGCCAATACAGGGCTACCTTCAGATGACTTATAAAAGTCAAATAGTTGTTTATTTCCTTGACATCTGATGGGAGGGGACGTTCCACAGGGTGGGTGCCACCACTGAGAAGACCCTCTGCC